TTTCGCATCTTTGTTCTCGGCGTTGCGGCGAAACTGCGTATCGTCGGCCGCGATCGAGACGGTCCACCGTATCGTGTTTATAGCTGAACGACACACAAACATGGGACAATCGACTCGATCTCTTTTCTCTCTCTCTCTCTCTCTGCAACACCCATAAACCACCAGAGCCCGAAACCGTCCTCATTTCGTGATGGATCTATTCTGCCGTGCGATTATTACTTTTTTTTTTGCATCCGTGCCCTAGATATGACCCTGATGCAGCGGACATAAAAGCAGTCCGAGCGGAAACGAAGGGCAGGGTTGAAATCTCCGGCCGACCACTGATCGTGCTAATAAAAGAGCGTGCTGAGCTGGCTGCCCACGAATCTATACGGATTGTGGTTTCGAAATGTGCGGGATGCGAAGAGGAAAGGAGTACTGAAATCGGTATGCGAGAGAGAAAGTCTGCGGTGCTGCTGCGTCTGAGTTGCATTTAGATTATGATGCATTTTGTTATTTAAGAAAATATTGCGAGGAATGGGGGTGAAGTTTATCACGCGAGTTGTGATTAAGTTTGAAGCAGGGTTAGTCCCACAATTGTTGTCGCGCTGCCACACAGACAGACAGACAGACAGACAGACAGACAGACATCCCCAGACAGACATCCGGAAACTGCACCAAGGAGCCTCACTTTCCCTTAAATCGAGGAGACTCACTAGGAAAGGGGAGAGGAGGGGAGGGGAGGGGAGGGGGAGGGGGTGGGGGGCGAGGGGGGAGGGGTTGATGGCGATCAAAGACCGACGCTTCCGTTTTACAAGCTGCTCCTTCTCCACGCTTCAAGACTCTAGCATCATGTAATGGTTGTTTTATTGATAAACCATAAGTGTATCGCTCATTGTAGAGTGATGGAAAGGCTCACGCGAGAAGCCCGTTCCCCGTCCCAGACCGCACTGCACGCGACTTCTTCAACCCACATAACGTACTGTCGCAGGGGCGGCTTCGAGGCTCCCCCCCCCCCCCCCCTCTCTCTTGGGTTTCGACCGTCGAACGAGGCCAGAAATCCGCGACAGGTGGTTGAGGATGTGTACTTTTTTTCAGCTCTATATATATGTATAGGAGAGAGAAAGAGGAACCTTTCCTGGTGGCAACGCATCCATCATCGCGGACGGTGCACATGTTGTCTCCTCGTGCATTCTGAAACAGATTAACGATTGCTATGAGTTGGGATGACCCGAGTGCTGTGTCATCCCACGCGTTTTTAAGTGTCATTCTCCGCGTCGAGTCCTCCGGGCTCCTTCCCTGGCTCACATGCGACTCGGTCATGTGAATAATACGGTTCTCTCTCTCTCTCTCTCTCTCGACTTTGGGTTTTAGCGAATCCATATATGAATGGGACGGTGCAGGTTGGAGACCAGAAAGTGCCTGCTTGGTCGGAAGAAAAATCTCCGCTCGCCGTCTAAGAGTGGATCGGAGGAGACAACCCGAAATTTCCTTCGAGTCTTGCGACGCTCATGGAGTTCATTTGACAGATTCCGAAGGCACGCATGGCATGAATTTTACACAGTTCTACCCTCCTCTCGTTTCGTGTCCGATGAATTTCCCATGTCGTCCCTTTTAATGAACCACTCTCCCAGTCCATCAATCATCCATAACCATGCACGTGCTCCTATCTAATCATCTACCTACTTTGCCCCATTGCCTTCGATTTACAGTCCCACGATAACGCGAGCGAGGGAGGCACGGATAAGCCTTCATCTCCACTCCCCATCGTTCGGTGGACATAAAACCAAACTACTCTTCGTGCGGTGCTTCCAGCGTGCTTCGGAGGAGGCAGGAGGCCCTGGATATCGCGGATCGGGACATGGAGGCATGTTCCGGGCGCCCCAGAAATCTTTCTATTCCGTTTTTGACATGCCACGAAAACGAAACGGGATTTGCTCACGGTTAGTGGGTCCTCGATTCTGTTGAAGGCCGGATGGGAACTTCATAAGACGCATGATTTGGCGGCTGGAGCTTTGAGATTACATTTCTTTCGGGATCTGATTGGGAACACAGTCACGTGACCGCGATCGGAAATTGATATCGGCGTCTGCTGATTTCTTCTTGCCAAAACCATCAGAGAACGAAACCGCATTTTCGAGTGAAGCGGTTTCCTCAAAAATGGTGCTTCACCCTACTGGTAAGAGAGCATTGATGCAGACCCGCAGCAGAATTGTCATTTGTCTATTCCCTGCCGCTCACTGTCTAGGATGTCGTGGTCTAGGTCTATCTGTCTAGGTCTGTCTAGGTCTATCTGTCTAGGACTATCTGGCTGCGCAGTCCTCTTCTGTCTCTTCGCGAATCGGTTCTCCGTTTCGTTCCCCATGAACCCGCTCAAAAATTACTTATCAGAAGGGAATGGAGCAAACTCGTTCCCTGAAGCATGTGCCAATTAGAAACATTCGTCTGCGAATGTCATCCGCCTCGAACACACGAAGGGTGTTCAGAAGGTTTTTTGCAACTGATCCCACGTTATGTATTCCATCTACGGGCTTCGTCTCGAATGCCTTCAATGCTTCCGTGAAAATTTGCATGATTATAGACCAGATGGCGAATTGAAAGTTCATAGTGCTCAAACTGAGACATACTAAGAATATCGTCTATCAACGTATAAACAACTCTATATAGTTGACATGTATACTTACTCATGGTAACAAGAGAGCTATCACGATGCTTCGAGTCGTCTCTTTTCCTTGGCTGGATATTCCTACTTGACAATTTTTTTTAAGAAGGCGGGACTGATAATGCGGGTTGCCTGGACGACACATTCATGGAAATCCGGATATTTATCCTGCGCACTGAACTTAACGATTGATGCAGGATTAGCCTCTCTCTTGCGGATATCTGCCCACGTAGTCATTATGTAGCCTAGTTTAATCTCACCGAGAAACAGAATTTGTGGCGGCCAAGAAGGGTTAAGCAAGCATATTTCAGATTAAGCCCTTGAATACTGCGCTTCGTAGTCATGAATATGTATCATGGCTTGGGAATCCAGAGTTTTATTGGAACTGGATGAAGTCGTTCACAATTATCGTTTTGGCGTCACTCTGAATCGCCAATTTAATGTCATTAAATAAGTGCCACTCAACCCTTGTACCGCTCCTCTGAAAACCCAGTCGAGCGAAGAAAAGTTAATTCAGACGGAGCGGTGGCGTGTGACGCACTCCGCCTGGTCACACGATGCGGGTCAACCTCGTTAAAGGTCCTCATTAAAGGCCCTCGTTAATGGTCTCGTGGCAGCCACTTCGGGAATCACACGGTTGCGATGGTTGGCGCCGACGTCACGCCAGACGTCACGCCAGACGTCACGCCAGACGTCACGTTCCGCATCTGCCGTCGCGTCTGCGAGAAGTCGGGAGACCGCGCGAGCTGGCGGAGAAAGCGAGGCCGCTTCCTTTTTTCCGCTCGTGGGTCGCCTTGTGGGTCTCCTTGTGGGTCGCCTTGTGGGTCGCCCGACTTTCGCAACACCTTTCGCATCCCGCTCTCGTTGAACCCGCATTCGCGTACATTTCGGCATTAACATTACTGGTGTGTGACACAGTATCATGCACAACAGGTAACATTACTTACATCAAGGACGTAGCCGACGAATGCTGACCGAGGGGCCAGTTTCAACGCCCGTTGGCATCCCACCTTGAAGTAGTTGATCCGTCTGAGGGCAGCGTCTTAGGAATGTATCGATAACTTCCGCCAAAACCTTTCATAAATTCGCACGAATCACATCGACAGCCCTGCCAATTTTTCAGACGGTATAAAGGTCGAATCCTGCCCCGTTTCCAGCAGAAATCCATGCATCACAGGTGCGTCTCAAGTGCTCATGCCGTTAAGAAATCACGAAAAGTTTCCTCGCGAAGAAGTAGTAGGAGTAGCGAATGCACCGCTAACCTAAAAATTAGCTACGAAATTCATGAAGACCCCTCGCACCGAGACCATTTCATATCGTGACAAATACGTGACGAGATTCAAGTTTTCAACATCCCGTTGGTGAGAGAAAGAAAGAAGAAAGAACGCGCCGCTCTCCAACGACCGAAAATCTCCAGCACCGAAATTTGTTTTCAAGTGTGGGAAGAACCCAGTAACCCCTGCGATTGGGTCGGGGGGCACGTGGCCAGCGTATCATAGAGATAGGCCTATCGAATATCCAGATATCGCGGTTCACCGCAGGGGGACGGGCGATCCCGATCCGTTAATGACCAGGACGTGCTGGATCGACCGGTGTGTGTCTCTTTGTGTGTGCGTTGCGGGTGTGCACGGTGGGCTGGAGGAATGGCTGGGGCCCATGTATTAAAGAAGATGATGCCTGAATAATTGAGGCCAGTTAATGGTCCCCTACCTATACACTTGATGGACGCCATTGTGGTATAATACTCCCCGGATCGCTATGCAACGCTCCGACGCCGTGCACCCCGATGCATCGATGCATATTAATGCCGCCGGCTCTTCCATCGGCGATTACAGGAAACACTCTGTCCTCGATGGAAACAGGTGCTTTCACGGGGCAGAGTGCTCGATCGGCGAGACGATAATGCTTTTCAGCCGAACGCGAGCAAGGACGAGATCAGATAGCGAATCCGCTAAATCCACGTGCTTATTAAGTAAAAAGGCTGTTGTAAAACGGCAGCGTCGTCTAGGAGACAGGAGCCCATTCGCGACCTCAATAATGATGAGTCAATAATTCGCCGAACGTTCAACGTTAGCCGACTTTCCGCCTTTGCGCGATGGAAGCGAGGAAACTAGGGTATCCTTGGCTTCGATCCTGTGTTCGATTGCTTCTAATTATGCCGGTCGACGATGCTAGCTGCGACTCCTCACGTGATAATGCACCGACCATACGAAGTTGCAGCAGGTGAGAGTCGACACTCACATGCTAAGTACTTCCATTTAAATATGAATGTCGTGACATGAGGCACATCCATGTAAGTTACTTGTGCCTGCGTTTCTGCGCCGGGACCCGTCGAAAGGGAAAATAATAAGCGGAAATAATGCTTCAACTGGATCTATTTCTCTAAATTCGTCGTCATACCCAGATACAGAGGGATACTCACAGAAGATGAACGTAACTCGAGACATTGGTCACCTGGTGCCTACCGGAGAGATCGATATCACATGGGAGTGCGTGGGGTACCAGACAAGGGCTGGAGAAGGGAAGGAGACTCGTGGCCATCTGCAGCGACGTGGAGGAAACCTAGGGTTGCGATGGATCTCGCCAGGTGGTGCGTCGGTCGAGCGACCTCGCTGGTCGCCTTGTAGGTCTTCAACATCCATTCCTTTCTGTCCTGGTCCAGCAGGGGGCCGTAGTCCGGGCTGCATCGGACGCTCGCCTTCAATCGCTGCACGGGGACGAGGTGGAACGCGAGGTTAATTAGGCTTAGGTTGATTTGTTGAGAATTTCTTCGCACAGACCTGCCAGAAGGTTCCTTGACTGGAGGAGACTTTGTAGATGGCGTAGACGGGGATCCAGATCATGGAAGAGAAAGCTGCAATCCAACCCAAACCCACGGCCCAGTCCGGATATTGGTAGTCTCCGTACGTCACGCGACCGTTCGACACCACCGTCGTGATGGAAATTCCCTGATGTTTTGCGAGAAAATCAAATCAATTCAAAAGAAAACCACCAATGGTTTCGGCACCAAGAATTCTGAGATATGTTGAAACCGAAAGCCTTACAACGAGGACCGTGGGTGTGACAAAGGCCCAACAATACTTCCAGAACGGCATGATGGACTTCCTTAGCATGCATTCGATGTCTCGGATGAAGTTGTTCACTCCTGTGGACGGTCAGAAATTATTTTGCTTGCTTAATTTTTTATGTTTTCAAGCCTCGAAAACGTTTTTTTTTAAATAATTTTTCTCACCGTAAATGCCAACAATGAGGAAGATCTCGCACAAGCACGTCAAGAAGATGGACACCGAGGCGCAATACCAATCGAGAAGCTGCAGAACGTACATCCCGGCCTGGAAGAGAGAGAGAGAGAGAGAGAGAGAGAGAGATAGAGAAGCCGCGGATGAAGAACCGCGGACCCCGCGAATCCCGCGACGACGAAGCTACCTGGGTGACGCAGGGCAGCGAGATGAGGAACATGACGATGCAGGACCCGCCGGCGACCACGAATTTCCGGTCCCTCAGGCAGGGGAACTCATCCTGCAGAGCCGATATGACCGTCTCCACCTGGGCAAACTGTCGAAAAAAAAAAAACAATAAAAGAAAACAATTCATAAATGTTAAAATTTAAACGAAATGTAAAAATACAGAATTATATTTTTTATTTCCGAAAAAAAAAAATCGGCTTACCTGACTGTCGAGTCCGATGGTGTAGAGCATGAAGAAGAAGAGGACAGCCCAGACCGGGGCCAGTGGCATCAGCGCTATTGCTTGCGGATACGTGATGAACGTCAGCTGCGGACCTAAAAAATAAATTTTTAAATATTCAACGGATTTCAACGGAAACTTTTGCCAACCTGCTCGGTTTTCACGGCCATCATTTCCGAATTTTTTTTTTACCCCTGGAATTCGGGACCACCCTGCCGAACAATTTCTCTATTTTTGAATTTTTCGTCGCTCCGTCACATTTCTTTCATTATTATTTTCCCTTTTGCCCTTTACCGCACTGCCTTTACCAGTCGCGGCCACACGATCCTCGATACGGACTAGAATAAGTAGGTCCCCGTATTCAGTTTCGTCCTTGAACACCATAGTGCTGATAGACGCTGGATACAATAGATTTATTTGATAGCTCGCTCATATTCCCTGGCAGAACGAAAGCATCGATTTCTTCGCCAAGCAGATTAAGCAGACTCTCTGCCTGATGCAGCGTGGTTCCAGGAAATTAATTTTTCCTGGAATGAGAGAAGTATCCGTCTGACGCAAATTCTCTCCCTTTTTTTTTTGCTAAAGGCACAAATCTGATAAAAATCTTAATCGCTCCCAATTTCCTGCAAGGGCCTTCGAACCCCTGAAGCCCTTGATGATGTCCTACCGTGAGTGGCGACTTGGTCCACGGGAATCCCCGTGGCGTGCGACAGGAAACCCAAGACGGAGAAGACGACGAACCCCGCGAACACGCTCGTCAAGCAGTTCGTGATCGGCACCAAAATGGAGTCCCTGGAAGAGAAAACTTTTTTTTCCGTTTCAGCCCGTCATAATGCACCTGAGTCCTGTATTATGCTCGTTTAAGCCGGTTTTGCGGCCTCAATCCAAGAACCTTCGAGATGAGATTTTTCTTTTTGCCTTCATGGGTTTTCTGCTCAAAAGCAGTGAAAATATGCTCGAAGTTGAGTCATAACGACTTAAATAAATTTTAATTCGAGTCCCCTGATATTGAACGTGAACTGATCGGAATATTTGATTTAAACTGATGTCGTTCGTTTTATAGTCGAATTATAATGCGACCCGACATTTGAAGATTGTTGTGAAACGGATTGTAGCTGGCGACGGTGATCGTGGCTCCCCATCCGGCCCCCAGCGAGAAGAAGATCTGCAGCGCCGCATCGCTCCACACCTTCCGGGAGAAAAAAAAAAAAAAAAACTGTCTGTGAAACTACCGCCCAACGCCGAGCCCGCCGAGCGAGAGACCAGCGCCCCCTAGAGACCTTGAAATCGGCGAGCTTGTCCCACTGAGGCACGACGTAGTAGAGGATCCCCGTCCAGGCGCCGGGCAGGGTCACCCCGCGGATGCAGAGCACCAGCAGCATGACGAAGGGGAAGGTGGCCGTGAAGTACACCACCTACGTGGAGGAGCAGACCTTCAGTCGCCGGCCGACTCTCTCGTCGGGAGGAGGCAGAGGGTGGGGGTGGGGCTGGCACCTTTCCGATGGACTTCACGCCCTTCCAGAGGCAGAAGAAGATGACGATCCAGGAGACGAAGACGCACACGACCAGTTTCCAGACGAACGACCCGCTTTCCGTGATTCCGTCGCTGATTTCCAGCATGTACTTGCTGAAAGTTCAGGCCGGGTTTAAGTGCCCTTAGCTGCATTATAACGATTCATTTGCATTGTCCCATTTTAATTAAGTTAATCACCTGAAGAATTCTTCGGTGGAACTGGTCCCGTTGGCCATCGTGGCATTGTTCAGCTGGAACGTATCATAGTCGAACTGGGGCAACGACAAGAAAAAAAGATGTCAGCGATTCTTTCCCCCATCCTCACGAACTCGCGAATCGTCGGGGAAAGTACCTGGATACAGTTGGGGGTATTCCAGGAATTATCGCAGGAGGCCCAGGGAAGCCTGGGAGAAAATCCCACGCCCATGTAGAACAGGGTATACGCCAAGATGACATTGTAGTAAGCCGAGACCAGAATATTCACGATGATCATCGCAAATCCCACTCCTGCGGAACGATAATCCCCTCAAGATGACGCACAAACGAAGAAAAATTAGAGCGTCTCGGAGAAAGCAATTATTATTTTCCCCAGTAACCCAGACAAAACTCCTAATCATCAATTACCTCGATGAACTTCGCATCCACGTCACAAAATTTTTTCTTTCTTTTTTTTTCGTTTTGTCATTCGCTGCATCGTCAGTGGAAACGAAAGGTCACGCAGAGAAATCCGCTGCCACCCCATATTATATTCATGCATGGAGCTCCCTCTATTAGGGTTCTCATCGTGAATAATTAAGAAAGACGCGATTCCTCCTTGCATGCGTGGGTCCAGAAACAGATAGCCGTCGAAAGACTCCATATTTCCCCGACACGATAGATTTCGGGTTAATGGAAAGGTCGATACCGACACGACAATGGTCAGGCGATGGCAGATGTCTCCCTTTTGTTCCCTTCTCATTGTGGGGGGGGGGCAATCGGCGACTCATTAAAGACACCGACCAGGAAGCGACCCGGAAAAATACATCAAAGTCGTTTAATTAATGGGGATATCCTTTTCCAGACAAGGCCGACGAAACGCTCCCCATCTGGGCCACTGTGCCACTCACGGAAACAAACGCACACCCTCTTCTACGAATCGTTTTCGCACGACCCCCGTCCTCGGACGCGGTTATCTGGAGTCTGCTCAGCACGCATTCGGGAGAAATTTCCGTCACGATAACTGCCATTCCCTCCACACCTTGTTTTTCGCAGTTGCATAATGGGAGGTCAGGAATGACCTCCCCCAGGAATGACCTCCCCCAGGAATGACCTCCCCCGGGTGACAAACGATTCGAGCATCCTGGTGAAAATTAAGTTTTCCAGAGTCTGCAGCCGCGGGAGAGATTTGCCGAATCGACATCAATTCCGCCGGGTATATCGATGTCCAGAATAAGTTTTCGTCTCGTTTTCGGATTTCAATCAAAATATTAAAGAATATATTTACTAATAGATCTAAATAATAATAAAAACTACACGATATCAGCATAAAAGTAAATGTGAACCTATCCAGCAACGATTGCTGCTCAAACCTCTTAAGGGCAAGGTCAAAAGGTCAAGACCATTCACCGAGCAAATCAATGGAATATGCTTTCAGTTTCCAGTTTTTCGCCGTTCCATTTAGCTGGGGCATTCCGCGTGATTGTATCAACCTGGCACGAGGAAATAATTCCGACTGGATTTTTTTTTTTCGCTCATGGGATTATTGGAAATTTGAGGGAAAAAAAATTTGGAAAATCATTTCTACGATGAACTTTCTTGGAGGATGCGAAGATTATCGCAGTGGCCTGATTGTAATAATAATATTTATTTAAAAAATAATAATAAAGCCTGAGAGACGAAATGATAAATGTAATAGGCGAAAAATTCTGGAGTAAATCCTCATTTCCGATAGCCACAGTAGATCATTATTTATCATTCAATTATTATCTTTCAGTCTTTCCTTTCGTCTTGGCTTGATCTTCCTCCCAAAGAATTTTATCTTGTGCAAGAACAGCGTGCTTTCGGATCAAATTTCGTTGCTTTCCTGGAGATGCTCATTATGATGAATAGTAAGAATAATAAGAATAGTAAGAATAGTAGCGAAGTTAGTCAGCACGTGGAATAACCGCGGCATGAGCCTCTCGCGTTCCGAATTCATACTAAATAGTCCATGCTCGATTGGTGAGTTTGAGTATAAGTTTGAGCAATTTGAGAAACCATTAACGAGTCTGAGTTTGTGCATTTGCATTCTCGAATTGGGCAACCTGCAATAACGGGTGACGTAGAGGAAGGGAACAGATCTGCTTTACAAGGCTGAGTAAACGTAGTTCTCTCGCACAAGAGACAGCGCATTAGCGACGTTATGTCCTCGCATCCCGAGGTCGTACGGCAGACGTCTGGTGGTGCAGGGAGTGGGTTGGAATGGCCTTTGTGCTCTCGGGATCTCTTCGCTCTCACCCGACATGGCTTCTTTGGGGGGACCGACTCGGTCTTACCTTTGAAAATGGGGCAGATGCGGAACACGGAAAGAACTCCGCAACTGTTGAACTGCCCGAGCGCCATTTCCAAGAAGAAGATCGGGATCCCGCAGGCGAACAGCATCGTGAAGTACGGCACGAAGAAGGCACCTGTTTCGACAAAAAAAATGAAAAGCCTTTCACTTCCAGCGGGATCGAGCGCGCCGAAAATTCCAGCGAGATCGAACCGAACCCCCTCCATTCTTGTAGCAGAGATAGGGAAACCTCCAGACGTTGCTGAGACCGATGGCATACCCCAGACACGAGAGGATGAACTCCAACTTGGTGGCCCAGGTGTCCCTCGTCCTCGGGGAGCCTCCGGGGCTCGGGGGCTGGCCCGACTCTAGGTCCAGCACGATCTCCTCCGCGGGGCCGCTGTCCTGGCTTCCTCTCTTCCTCGCTGGCATCTTGGTGTCTCGGCGGTCGCAGGCTTTTCGAGTCGAGCGGCATTTCAGCATGGTTCGTTCACTTCAGTCTCTTTAATTCCTACTTTGCTAGATGATAAATATATCTATTTATCTAATAGGCGGGTAAATGTTGATGTCTCTCGTAGCGGGAAATTTTATTTTTAGCCTCAGTCGGCACTCTGGAAGCGGAAACGGGATGTTTTCTCCCCATGTGCATGTTCTAAATTATCCCTGACGCTTTGCACAGATGGGATATATTTTCCTACTTGAACCTCAACGTCTGCGTTGCGAGATGAGGTATTTGCCATTGAGGTAACTCAGGGACTGTAACAGGGAAAACGAGTATCATTCGAAGAAATTCAGCTGTAAAGTGAAACTTCCAGTACCACTTCCAAGTCCAGAAACTTCTCGTGAACTATGGGGAGAACTTTGCAATGGACTCAGAGAACAGGATTGAACTGGATGCTTAAAAAAAAGGCATTTCGTGTTTTACAAGCCGTTCAAGAAGAAAGCTACAAACTTATTACGAGTTAAATCACCTCCCGCAGGGAATAATTCACATTGCACTCGGTCGGACCGTTGTGATGCCCTTTCGCCTCGTGACTTTCACTAGTCCTAAGTTTGCATGTGCGGGGATGTGCATCGAACGGCCGGCTTACTTGCGTGTGTTCCATAGGAGGACGAAGCGATGAGCAGGGGGGTGTCCACGGGAATGGCGTGGGGAGGAGGGGGGTCTGTCTTTATCGTGGACCCGAGGAAATTGAGCCTTTTGCGCCTCCTTTGTCTATCGAGCATTCGTCATGCGGGAAGGACTCGTGGCGCATCGTGGGGCTGTGTCGGTGGGGGCGAGGGCGGGGTGGGGCTGTGTCGGTGGGGGCGAGTCGGCTCTTGGATCTCTTGTTTTTCGTTGGGTTTTGGGGGTTCAGATCCGCTGCTGCACTGGGAGCGAGGTGAAAGCGGCGAAATTGTCAAGAGGGAAAATCCCAGACTAAATGTGATCATTTTAATGTTGAAAATTAAAATGAGAAGAGTCTTTCACCGATATAGGTGAATTAATCGAAGCTAATTGGTTAAGTTGACTGGGATGTCAGAACATGCAGTAACCAGTGGCGTATTTTGGTTGAGGGGTCAGGGGGGAGGGGGGGGGCAACAGTACGGGGACGCCATACCCTACCCTAGCGATATCAGGTGGGGAAATTACGAGCGGCGTACCAAAAGTATCGAGACCCTGGCTATAATTTTCTTAATGTGTTTGCTACGAAAATCTAATCCAGTTTCCTTCAATACGCAATGTGCACTCAGAAGTTCAAGTTGCTCTCTCTTATGATTAACAAAATACAGGCAGTGAAAGGAACACATGCACCAGAAATTCCAGACGCGACAACTCATTCACTCATCATCACGAACTTTCCCCACTAGGTCCCCTTTGAGGTGGACGCATTTCTGCCACCGCGATTCGCACTTGCGGATTGATGCCCTGAACCACAGTGGTTCGGGTCATCGTTCCGCAGTTCAGGCATCATCGGTTCAGTCATGGAGGACTATGTGGAGAAGGTTCGTGATGATCCACAAGATGAGTGAATGAGTGAGTGAGTGGTGCATGTGTTCCTTTCACTGCCTGTATTTTGTTAATCATAAGAGAGAGCAACTTGTACTTTTGAGAGTGCATTGCGTATTGAAAGAAACTAAATTAGATTTTCGTGGCAAACACATTAAGAAAATTATAGCCAGAGTCTCGATACTTTTGGTACGTCCTTCGTATTACCTCCAAGGGGGCGCCAAGCCCTGTCCCAGGGGACCCGGGGGGGGTGGGGGCGGCTGCCCCCTCTGCCCCCCCGTAAAATACGCCACTGGCAGTAACCCATACAAAAAATGCTATTGTTACGGAAAATCGACTGGAAGGGATTTTTTGGCCAAGTCGAATCCTCGATGCAGTTTTTTATTCATTCAGGAGTGACTTTCCCAAACAATAACAGTACGCTGTTGCTCGGACTAAAGGGGAAAAACTGCATGATTCCATCGTAGGCTGGCATCAGTGCCGGACATGGCATCAAGAAAGCCGGATCTCACCGGGACCTAACCTGGCCAAGTCAGGACAAGAACATCGATGCAATGTTCCAAGAGCGCTGAAGTTTCATCAACACGTTGAGTCGATGCTGAAAGCACTGACTGCAACATTGACTCAGCATTGGTTCAATGTTGAAGCAACAGTATTGAGACAGGTCTCAACATTGCTGTTGAATTCATGCCACGCTCCGTTCGAGAGCTGAAATATTCAATGAATCAGCGTGATCTCTGCCCCCTCCACTCTCCAATGCTGAGATTAGAGATGCCCTCTCCAACCCCGGCATCAATACTCCATTACGAGAGGAAAGAGGGACTTCCTGCTCTCGAGTACAATCGAGCGATGAAAGCCATGGGAAAAGACGGAATGACTCGATTGATCATCCCGCTCTGAATGGCCTCCTTCTGTCGAGGGAAGGAGGGAAGGAGGGAAGGTGGGAAGGAGGGAAGGAGGGAAGGAGGTGTCGTGAAGAGCATCGCCGCGTGGACCTGCTTCTCTCCGTTCCCGGACTCGGAATCGCCTTGGGTCTTGTTGGGGATGGGTTGCCGCTTTCGTCAGATGCGTCCAGGAATTCCAATACCTTCTCCGACGTCGTCTGGAGAGAAAATATTGAGTACCGTTAGAAAAGTACCTGGGACAGTGCCGGTTGCATATGCGAGCGTTGGCCATTTGTTGCTATCTCACTTCGGGGTCAGGGAACTCAGTTGGTTCGAATGACTGCTAGATGTCTCGCCCGACATCTGTCGATGTAGCGTCGACCGGACGATGTCCTAGCAATATTGACATTTTCGACATCGAGCCAATGTTGGCTGGGATCATCAGCATCGTCAACCGCCGCTTCTCAAGATTGAGACAATTTTGTTGTGCGAACTGGGAGGTTTTCACACCCCGACACCGATCGGCATCCAAAAGCTTCGGTCGGACATGCAGCTCTCCACGACGGCCTTGAACAAATCCTCTACCGGCTATCGATGTAATCAAAGCAATCGATCCCCCGTCGTTGGATCTGTGGGAGCCCAACGACGAGAAAGTCGGATGAGGTTCCCCCGTCTCTTCGACGCCCTACCCTTCCGGTTCAGTTTGTCTCGGCCTACTAGATCGCACAGGACGTTAAAAAAAAGCTTGGAGAGACTTCTTCCTCCGAACCTCTGCCTCTTCTCGTAAGGTGAAACGGCAGATTTTCTCCCACTTTCCACTATTTACAGATAATTCCTGCATGAATTCGTTCCGCTCCGTGGAATCGGGCAGAGTAGAGTTCATCTGACGCAAATAGCAATTTGATCCGATGCATCCTTCTCATGATAATTGGGTAATTAACTTGAGAAGATTAGTTTTTAGTTAGAAGCTTAGTTGCTTTCTATCCTATTTTAGTCTGAGCGACATCAACTCGGTTCTGCCTGGTACTTCGTTTGAAACGACATGGACGAGATTGCGGGACACTCGAGTGACATGCGTGACATGCGTGACACGTGACGGTCCCAGTACTGCTTCTTCACCGAAGGAATGACCGAAGAGAGGCCCAAAGTCCAGAGATAGGAACGGTCGAAGTTCGAGGGGAAGTCGATCGAGTCAGCGGGGAATGCCGACCTTGGTTCACGGTCGACTCTTCGTAAGCTTTGTCGTTGAAGGTCGGCTCCGAGATTGGATTTTTTTTTTGCTGATGATTGCATTATCGATCGGGGGATCGACACGCCACGTACGACCCTGCGGCGAGGCCTTTAAAAGTCAAGGAAAATGGCCTAGAGCGTGGCTATCAAGCCATTAAATTCAACTGAGAAAAATTTTTAAAAAAGTTTTTAGGGCGTGGAAGCTCAAAGATCCCTCGCATGAATCTCACTTTCTCGACTCCAATCCCACGGAAGGTAGCTGACTCCATCAAGTACCTGGTTATCATTATCAGGAAAAACCTGGATTGCGAGGAACACTTCAGCTCCACGTCTACCAAAGCCGATAGAGTTGTTGGCTCGACGAAACTTGGGTAAAGCTCGGAGCGAAATCGGAACAACGGCAAGCTCTTTCCTCGCTCGACCATCCTGGAATACGTCTCCGAAGCAAATGGGGTCCTTTTCAAGGGAGCAATGGGGTCCTTTTCAAGGGGGTCAAGAGGAGCTGAAATGATGAATACTAGCAGCTCATTATGACTTTGGTAACTACGATTGGGATGCTGTGCCTTGTGCAAGCCTAGATTGGAGGACTTTAGAAAACCTCAGGCGTAAAAATCCTAGAATGGTTCCTTTATGGAAAATTCCACATTCTCGATTAAAAATCATATTTGTATACAGAAAGGCATGCGAAGTTTCTAAATACATCGTCATCGTACAAGGGCTGTTTCAGAATCGTTTCTCCCCTGTGACGATGGCACAATCCTCCCCCTGATGATCCATATCGAATCTTGAATCGAAAATGCAATGAATCCAATCTTTTCATTAAAAGTACCTATTCCGAACAGTGATCACAACCCGCACAGCTCTCTTGTCGCCCTTGCCGGGTGGTAATGCTACGATTCCAGGATAAGGAGTGGGGGGGGGGGGGGAATGATTTCAAATTTCAATTTCAATTGAATTTCACAGCCACGAGGATTTTCACGTCTTTCGAGCCTGTCACCAGCTTTCCTCCTTTGAAAACAACTGAGTATCAAGATCACCAGATTTCATCAGCATCCTTCAGTTTCCCTCTATCCCTGACGTTTTCTGGCCACACGGGTGGGAGGGCTGAAGAAATTCTAGTTCCCATCGATGGATTCTGGCCATGTACCATTGTATGCAAAATCGTGCCTGAGTTCAGCTGATATGAAAGTGGTTCGAGGTTTGGGGCCGGGGCGTCATGATACATTTCACGTACGAGGCGTGTTGACGTTCGGAGTCGAGAATTCGGGGCTCCTTTAAGATAGGCCTGCCCAAAGACCTTATACTAAGAAGACTGGGCACTCTGTGGCGGCGCCTTTGATGTCGGGGAAACCTCCTGCCCTGGTGTTTGGCCCCGGAACTACGCAGAACTGACCAATGGGATCATTGGATTGGAATGTCGCGTGAAATATGGCTGCCTCTGGATGCAAGTACTGCGTCTACGTACCATGCCAGGAAAAATTTGGCCAAATGGATGGAGATGTTCGGTTGCATCGGTTTCTCAAGGATCAGGGAAGGCACGCGCATGTGGCCTATGGTCATGGCTTTATATATGTGTAACAAACAAATTAAGTAAAATGCTGAGCAACTCCAATGACCCTAACGAAAAGGTCAACATTTTCGCGTCTCGGATTGACAACCCTGTTAGAATGGGATGACTTCAATTTTGAAGGGATAAAAACAGGCTGTGGATAGTTATCTTGCAGCTTCGCTTTGGATTTACAGCCGTACTAGCGCGGCCTGCNCCCCCCCCCCCCCCCCCCCCCCCCCCCCCCCCCTAAATACGGCCTTGCAGATGAGGGAGGGGACTGAACCCTCGTGTTCAGTCCCCTTCTCATCTAACTGATAAGAGGATTGAACCTTAATCTACTAATCCAAGTCATCACTTCTCTTTGCTTGGAATCTCGTACGGTACAAGAACCGCTGTGAAGGCAAGAGGAAACGTTTAGGGTGTGGAATTGTTCCACATCATCTCGTTCGCAGTGAGACTACGTGGCTTACGTGGCCGGACCTCGCTGGCGCCTCGGTAAGCCAACTTGCTGACGTACTTGGGAGTCGACCAACGGGAACCGAGGTCATGATGGCGACTTGCTATCGCACATGTATCGTTCGTGGGACTGCATTACAAACAAGCGAAGGCTGCTAGTAGATCCAAGGTGGCGTCGTAACGGTCATTTTGCGAAATTTCTCGTGCACCTCTTCCATGAGTGTTCGATTTTATGTATGTCACACGTAATCAAGTAAGTTGCTTTTGTTTGTTGTTATCTCCATCATTCATTATCCTGGACCTGAGTGATTTTGGCTTTCCAGCTTAGCCAAAGCCTAACTTCACAAGTTCTTAGCTGGTATGCCCAACAAATTTGCCTTTATCAAAAAAAGCTTAGATGCCTTGATTCCTGTAAAATATGGACAGGTTAGGCCAAGGTAGGCCAATCAGGACTTACTCGCCAAGATCCTGCATTTCAGAATTTAAAAAAAATTGCTCATTAGCGCTGGCCCATAAAACTATCGCTTGAGTAGTTTAAGCAGCTAAATCAAATTGAAAAAGTAAACACACATGATGCTGGAAATATCTACATTGACTGCTCATTGCTGTAACCCTTGGGATATGTAACATTGCCATCTCAGGTTTATGGTATTTACTCATGAAGATTATAATAGGTGACTTAGCTTTGTAATATCTAATTTCTTGCCTCAAGAGAATTGACATAATGAGGGCAGGGGTTCCACAAGACATTTGTGGATCTCTCAGCATGACCAGGCCTAACATCATATTTGTGTGAGATTTGATCATGTGAAAATATGATATGGCAAGAGATGATCATTGCACAAAATCTCCTTCTTCACTTGTATAAACCATGCCTTTTGTCATGCATAGGTCTAGATCTACATTGTTTTTGAAAGGACTTTCAACAGAGCTAATGTAGATCCATCATTAAAATTTTGGCATCTCTAGCATCACTATAGGTGATGTGCACCATTAGGCCATAAAGGCTAGGTTCTGTAGCTGAAGTAATGATTGGCAAAGAAACAGTGTAAAATGCCAACATTTTGCATTCATACCTCAACTTTCCATTTAGTAAAAGAATCTGTATTCCTTTCTTTGACCAGTGGAGCAAAGTATAGAAAAAAGTATAAGTGTTTCCTCCATAGACCTGGCATTATCCTTTTTTTTCTCTTACTGACAAGAACATGAAATCCTTATCTTTGTAGTATGCCTGCTTCAAAACTCTTTTCAACAAAGCCCTAGGGCCTGATGAAATTGCTGTAAAGATCTTCCAAGTTAATGCCCCAATTATCTATTCTCAGTTTGTCTTTAATGAATCATTTGTTCTGGACATTTTCCCAAAACCGGAAAAGAAGACAAAGTTATTGCTCTGCATGAATATGACTCAAACACATTGCATTCAAGTTTAGGCCATCTCAATCTTCTAAATAATGGAAAAATTATATGCATCCACTTGTAGATCAAGTGGAGCTACATTAATATTAGCATTTCTTGATCAGTTGCTCATGAAACTATCTCTTTGAAGATTTGGGTTTAAAAGGGTTAAGGGAGGCATTGACGGTGCTGTTTATGATGAAAATGCAAGATATTCCTTATTACCCAGTAACACTAACATTTTTAGCCTATAAAACTCTCGAAATTCAAAACAGTTGCACATATATTAATTTTTGGAAAAAGAAAAGAAAAGCGGAAAAGTTTAAGCTTGATGTAGCCTTTTTTATGTTGGCCTTTATATCCTTTTTGGACTATTGGACTTAGTCTATTGAGAATTCTATCAGAGTCTCAATTATGTATTAATACCCTATATGAAGAATTCTTTGCAAGAAAGAAGAAACAAGCACATTGCAAATGCTACTTCATTAACCCTTTGGGGTCCATGCACGAGTTATCTTGTGTTGGCCTCATGATAAGTGATGGAAAGAACTCATATGACAGTGCTGACTTATCCAAAATACTCAGGCCCCAAAGGGTTACGCTACAGGTGCTGACTTTCCCTAACTTGGTGATCCTAAATGTTTTGAGGAATACGATAGGAAAGATGCCTTAATGGTCTCCCTGTAATCTCAGCTGGACAATGCCATGAGGATGAGGGTAAGGTGGAGATAGGACCATTGAAATTTAGACAAATCAAACCTGATAGCTCTTACTGCTGATTGTATACACATAGAGTTAGACCTTCCTGTAGCTTATTCCTTGTACTTCCAGATGCAGTTTGTGGGTAGTTCCCGGAGGAAGATAAATGGGAAACAGTCTTCTCACATATTGCTGGTGTGGCTTGATTTGTTTCATCATCATCCTTTCAAGAAGCAGTCCTGAAGTGTGAGTTCATTGCATTAAATGGATTTGCTTTACAATGTGCTATCTGCCTATGATAAATAATTGTGTAAATCTTTGACCAACAATGTACTGTTTTATTTTTTGTGCAGGCCTAGTGAATCATCAGCCTTCACAAAGGCTCTCCCTTCCCATGTGCAAGATGCCACTAAGCCTTTATCTCACGAGGCACTTATGGTGAAGAAACTGGATCACAACTTGGATGCTGCCAGAGACTCAACAAATAGTGTTACAGAACCTAAATTGCTAAGCACAGAAGTGCCTCATTTACAGTACTCAGCATTTCATTCTGAGTCTTCTCGTGCTGTGAATCATATATCACCCACACATTCAGCAGAGATTCAAGAACAGAACTTGGAATCATCCAACCTGAATGAATTCTCCAAAGTCATCACAAGTGCTGCTGAATCAACTATGGGAATTCAGGCAGTGGGATCTAGTAAATCAACCATGGAATCAGACTCCTTAAAATCATCCACAATGGGCAGGAATTCACATGTGAAATTGAATGGTGTAATCACCTCTAGTGCCACTAAATCAGAAGTAGAAATAGGCATGCAAGAGCAATTGTCAGTCCCTCCAGTGATCAACCCTGATAGTGAATCACCAACTACCACTAGAGAATCCAGTGTGTCTGAGGAAATAATGAATTCTGGTCATATTGGAGATGACATACCTGCATTCTCTCCATCTGCTGAAGGTAGGCATGTTGCCAATGTCTGGATTGCATGCCTGCAGATATTGGCATGTATCAAATGATTGAGATGCTAAAACTGTCATATTCATGTGTTCAAATGTTGTTCTTCACAGGTAATGAAGAAACACAAGAATCATTGGAAGCACCAAAGCTGGAAGAGCTGAAGCCACAGGCTGGAGATTCCCAAGAGAATTCCATGTTTTTCACTGAGAATGGAGCTAAGCATCATGAGGATTCTATCACAACTTTCAATGAATGGGCAAAGCAAAAATTGGAGGAAGCTCAGAGAAGTACATGTAAGTATCAATATCTATACCAATACACCGAAGCATACATCATTTAAGGAACATGCTTCCCAATTAACAATGTTTTGTTTCCAAAATGTGACTTTCTGGGATTTTCCAATCCAGCCAATGCTTCAGCTAATGGTAATGGAGGCAAGAGACGACTGAGGAACTTTGCCTCACTTGCCTGTGGAGCCAAGCTGTTGTCTGCAAATGTAGAAGCTCAGCGTGCATCTGCAGTCTTGTCAGGTGCTCCTGATGAGTATCTCTTGTCACCGTGCAAAGCCAGGGTGTATTTTGTTGTTGAGCTCTGTGAAGCAATCCAGCCCAGCAAAGTGAGAATTGTTTTATTATTTTCTTGACTGCAACCAGACAAACTCACTTGACTTTTGCTGAAATGTATGACAAATGCTTCACCCTGTGGAATAGTTCGAGCTGGCAAATCTGGAACTGTATTCTTCATCACCTCGAGAATTCCTGCTGAGCATGAGTGACCACTGGCCTTGTCGAAACTGGACTTTGATTGGAAAGTATGAAGCTCGGGATGACCATTCAATCCAGAATTTTACCATCAACCCCAATTTTGAGTACTTTGGGAAGTATCTTAAGGTAGGCCATTGTTTTGAGATTGAAAAGGCCTTGTGTATGCTGTTGGACGAAACATCTTAGTCAAATTCATGCATGGGTTCTGCTGCTCACTAACAAAAGTGCAATTGATGAATGATTTGCAGGTGGAAGTGCTGTCACACTATGGATCAGAACATTACTGCCCCATTTCTCTTTTTCGTGTATATGGAACCAGTGAATTTGAAGCCCTTGATCAAGTACAGGGTTACAAAGCCCATGGAATGGAGGAGGTCATTGAAGGAGAAGAGGAGCTTATGGGTATTGCATGCTTACTTTTATTCTCTTCAAAATCTTCAGATGTAGTCTTCAAATACACCATCTTCACTTGTCTTTTAGACTCAGAACGAGAGGCCAGACGAAGTGTGGGTCATTCTCTATTTGGAAGTGCAAGAGAAGCTATTATGAACATTGTTAAGAAAGCTGCTGAAGCCTTTCGTTTAAGTAAGTGCTGCTATTTATTTTTTAAATTGAGTTTTTTCCTTGAGTTGCTTGTTCAATTTTGAAACATTACTATCCTTGAAGTGCACCAGCTGGTCCTAATGGGGAAGAGAAATTAAGAGTGTGCATGAAGGTGCATTGTTGCTCTGAGAGCTATTCACAGTCCTGGCTGATGAGAGTAGATTACCTCCCTTCATTATGGGAGGTGGAAGAAATTTTCCAGAGACTTCATCCAGTGTTACCCAATTTCTGGGGTCAACACCTTTGACAAGGCAGATTCTAAAGAATTTTCCACTTTCCCACATCCTAATAGTTGGACTCAAATCAAGACTGCTTTTTAAAGGCATTTTCAGATGTAAATCTTTCATATGGGTCAGCACACTCCTAGTGAAGAGCTGAGTACTGGTAAGAGTGGTGAGAGAAAGAAACAAGCACACCAATAAACTTTTCCAAGATTTTCACTATTTTCAGCAAAAGTTACTTCTTGGTATTAATGGGTGGAAATTGAGTGTATCATCCTGCTGAATATGTTTTTCTGCATTGTCTTATCAAGCTGTCTTATATTCATACAGGTCCTCCAGCTGAGGTTCTGAATGAGACCCTTGGAATCCCAGAGTTGGAAGATTTCCCAGGATGTGCTTGTCCCCTTCAAGAACATTCAAAAGTGGTAGAAGGACACAAGGATGTCTGGGCCTACCTTTCCTGCCATCCTTATAATGTTACCCAATGGAAGGAAGCTACATCATCATGCTTATATTGTGTAATGGCTTCTGATAATCAGTCTGCTGGACCACTACCCTCTAGTCCAGGCAATCAGTGTGTCTGCCCATTGTCTTCTCGCTTCTTTCTCACATTAATTCCAAGGACAACAATCAGTGGGCTCCTGCTCTCCCTTCGCCTTTCTCATTTGGAAGGACCAAAGTCATCCTGCCCTGTGAATCAATCTCATCCAGATGCCTTAAACTTGTCTGGTACATCTCAGAACCCTATGGATGTGGATGTTTTACTTGAGCCATCTAGGTCATCAACCATGCACCCCATTCATCACGAGACATCATCAGATGCCCCTGATGTCCTCAATTCCATGGATGCCTCCCCAGATTCAGGAGATTTAATGTCTGACTCTCAGTTTTTGCTTGACATGGAGCATGATAAGTCTGCCTCAGAAATGACTGACTTTGAAATCCAACCATCCACTGCAAGTGGGACAGCAAAACTCACCCAAGAGGAGACATCAACACGGCCTGCCATGGAATCTGATGTGAAGATGACCAGTACCAAAACTGTTGATTCCACAAATGAAGCACTACAGTCATTGATTCAACCTAATGAGACAGTAGCTGAGGATTTCCAAGAGGTGATCCCAAGTCCACCATCAGAGCAGCTTAGTTTGTTTGATCCCAGCACACTTTCTTCCACACCAGGGAGTGGAGCCAATCAACCTCCTCAGAACAAGGAGACAGCTTTTCTCCGTCTTTCTAACAGAGTCAGGGTGAGTCACTGATATTTATCTGAGCTCCACCGTTGTTGCTTGTTGTGAACTTCACCATGTGTGACATTTAGGAGTTTTCATTTGTTAAAAATATGAGAATGTACTACAATTGTAAATGATGATTCAGTTATTCAAATTTCAAGCATTTAAATCCTGCTGTATTGACTGGTTGGGACAGTTTGATGACTGTCCCAACCATGTCAAATGACTGTCAAATGTGATAGTGTCTGATTTTGTCTGGCATTTTGAGGCCTTTCTTCTGAGGAGCACATTAATAGACTTGATATATAACAAATTCTTGTGGTATGTAATGCATGTTGTGCTTTGTTGTACTTCAAAGAAGAGAAAGTGGGTGACTTCATTGGGTGAACTGTTGGTTTCAGGCACCTGGCATTCACAAATATCCATGGGATGCCAATTCTGTGAAAGGGACGACAATTCAAAGTGCTTGAAGGAAAATATATTAGCCCCTTGAGTATGACTTGGAAAACTGGTGGGCAGACTGTCTAGAGCAACTTAAATTTAGAGAATTTATGTAATTAAAATGCTGGATGTGGAATTTCAGTATTTAAAAAATCGTAAAACCATTATTAAAACTATTAAATGTAATATTGCATCAATAAAACACTGACATTCTATGCTGTTGCACATGCTTGGAAGGTTAGTTTGGAGGGAAGGGTCCCATTAGTTTAGACATAAGCATGGCCCAAGCTGCTTAGTACATGCAGAAACCCTTTTGTTTGTTTTTTAAATATAAAATTGATTTTCCAGAAAAATATTATTGGATCTGTTGAGGGTTACCCTCCTCCCCATAAATATCCTTTTTGTCTGATGCACATGACACATTAGTTGATTTTGTCACCTTAAATGAAAATCATTTAATTATTCATTAATATTGGATACAGGGACCAGAAGTGACAATGACGAAATACCTGAGTATGTACACATATCTGTTTGCACTAAAATCTCCAGTAATGTGCAAACCATATATGTGACTTGCTGTGGCTGATTTTTTCCAGACTTTGGAGTTGAACTTGAGCTTAAGCACTCAATACTTGGAGGAACTGAGTCGCAGGTACAAGCGACAAGTGGAAGACCTCAGTAAGGCATTCAACCGGTCCCAACAGCAACTTGCTGATGCTTTGCAGGCCCTGAAGATTCAGGAACATTTATTGCAAGAAATGAATGGCACCATCATTCTACTCCTTGACTCTAACCAGCCACTCCAATACAATCAAAATGTGAGTTTTATCTCCTCCCCTTCAGTCATGCTTGTTGTGAAAAATGTGAATGATATTTCATGTCAGGAGCATCATATTTCAATATTCAGGTGATGATTGGGATCTTGGTGATATTTGAGACCGTGGCCATGGCTCTACTGGTTTTGTGCCTGAACCGTTCACGGTCTCCCCCACTTCCTCGTTCACAGTCTCCCCCTCCACTTTCTCGTGCCCTTCATCGCCACCCACAGTCATCAAACGAAATTTCAACACAAGCATTCAATGGAAGTCATCCTCCTGCCTCTTCCTCAAAGCCTCAGCAGAAGAAAACACCATACCACTTTTTATTGTCCAGTGATTCTAAGCAGAGATCTTATAGTCAAACTGACCTCTCTTCAGTGTCCATTCCTCGAAATTCCATCGAGGTTCTACGGCAGGTCCCAAAAGGAGGCAAAAGTCGGCAAAAGAAAAAGGAAAAGAAACAACAGCACCAGCTTCTCAGATCCCTTTCCAGCAGCTCTCTCTCTTCTCAGTTTACTCCCAATCCTATGGCTTGTCTTGTGAGTGATGTCAAGATATGAGCTGGACCTTTCTCCCTCTGATTTGTTGCTCCAGGGGTAGCCTAGAGTGTATCTTCTGTAACTGTTCTGGGAAATGAGTTGTGCTGTGTTATCACATCCCATGTTATGTGGCATCTGAGGACAGGGGCTCTTGTATGACTTTCTGCACCTGCTTCTTTTCATTCAGAATGCCTTTGTTATTGACAAATTTTTTTCATTTTGCCTTTTTCTTTTTAGGAATCTGCTGTTGTTCAGTAGGTGATGAAAAATGTCATGTATTGACTTAGTTGTAGACTTTCTATGGTGAGTTGATGAGGTAAAAGAAGACTTCTGGAGAAACGGTTCTTGTCTGCGTTAGTTCCTGGTTATTTGATGGCCAGAGGTGCTGAATTGTGATGGGAAACATGAAATTTCTCTCATGAAATGTGATACTGTATGTGTGCATCCACTGAATATATGAATGTAAATATTTTAAAGGTATGACCTATGTCTTACTGCATGGTCCTACTTTCTAAAGGTTTTTGAATGTGATACATACCTTTGTGTGTAGAAGTAGAAGTGCCAGGAAGGGCAGATTCAAGGACGCTTAAGAAGGTCAAATAGGTGTCGGATGTCTTCTGGAAGACAAGGTGGAATGTATTGTGCAGCTTTGCTGTCTGAAATACATTTTAAATGACAGAAAAGCTGTTTGGTTAATGAGCTAGGAAATAAACTTGGACCTTCATTCCAGTGATAGGCTAATGGCTCAATATGTCTGTGGAGCTTGTGATCTCAATATGAGCTTTCTCTTGCCAGCACTTCCCAGCCTTTAGAAGTAGGTTCCAACACAGGGGGGAAGGTTAGGTGATGGTAGCAATCCATAGATGTCATAGTCATGCACTGTGTTACTTATCATGTCTTGGGAATCTTTCATCCCATAGCTTATGTTCTTCTATGTTCTTTGTTCTGTTCAGAACCATCCTTCCCCTTTCACCTCTCTCATTTATTTATTGGTCAACCTTAGATTGTCTGCTCATATTTAAACTTCACTGCCATCATCATTCCAAAATACCATTAACCAAGTCATTGAATCTCATTGCCTTGCTTGGTCAACATTATCCACTTTGGTGAAGTATTTCATAAGTCATCTCATGTTAAATACTTGTAAATGATATGGATAGAAACCAAAAAGGAACCACTGAAATAATTATGGCAGGGCCATGGTTTTAGTGATTGATGAGTTTCATGGATCTAGTTTACTCTGTATCATGCATTCCCAGTCCTTGCTACCCATATCCCTGGGAGAGAAAATAGTGTTTCCTCTTCATGTTTTGATTTCATGTTTCTCTTTACGATCTTGTTTCGCCCCCTACCAGATCTCTTGAGCTTGAGAAAGGCAAAATTTCTCATCAGCACCAGTATGTCTGTGTTCAAAATGGGCAATTTGGAACTGTTACCAATTCAGCATGTCATATGATTTGTCTTAACATTCTTAGTTGACTTTTTCTGAGGCAGTACTGGTCATGTTGACTGGAGCTGTATCCCAAGGACTGTCAACCATTGGAAATGATTACCTGTTTCTCCATTATGAGGACAGTTTTGTAGGTGATGGATACTTACCACTGGATGCACACTTCCCATTCATGATATAATTTAGATTTTTTATTTTTGAAATATTTTTTCTGGCCTTATTTCTCTTTTTTTTTGTGTTCTCTTCCAGGCCCAAATTGTTCTCTATTTCTTGCTTTCCCTTCTGCCCTTCAATTTGCATATTATTCTTCCTTGTCATTTTTCCCTTCTGTTCTCTGGGACTGCTCAGCCAGTGGCTCCTGCCTCAAATTGAGCAGGAATTATTCAAGCACATGAGAACTACTTGGGTTGCATAAGTCCTCGGATTATAACCTTGATTCATTTCTTTTCTCCATGTTCATTGTGTGTTGAGAGTATTTATTTCGTGAAAGACATATGAAGGGCCTGTTGAAATAAAGGCAACTTCAGTGCATCCTGCATGTTTGACATGTACAACAGATGAACTCAGAATTCATTCCAAGGCCTTGAGAGGTCTATCGTCAGCCATGGTTCAAATTATTCTACATTTCATCTTGATTGATCAAAAACCGTCGGTGACACGCGCAGGGATTTCCAATCATTCACGCGGTGACTTATTTGGGAGAAGGGAGGAATCTGCAGGTTCAGACTCGCACCTGAAATGCAAGCTCAGGTATGAAAACGAACACCCCTGAAAGTTTTGCTTCCTAATTAGTTGTATTTCCTGAAGCATCATGGGGGAACCTCAGGCACTCCCAAATTTTTATCCTGGCTACGCCACGGAGTGAGATTATTCTGAATCCTCGATGTACAATAGCAAAATTGGTAAGAATTGGTTGGTTGCTGTTTGTGTATGTTGGGGGTGTGGTAAATAAGGCGTCCTTTGACTGGTGCATCCTCATTCACAAAATGGAATTGCAGAGTTTCATGTTCTGATAAGAACCTCAAGTGTGCGTACCTCTTCCCAAACCTCTTTCTAACCTCTTCCCTCAAGGTAGACAACTGAAACAGTTTCTCCATGGATACTTGACCCGCGCTCAGCTTTGACCAGGTATCTTGCCACGAAGACACAGAGATGCAAGTCACGGGGGCCTCCGTCCCAACAGCGCCGGAGGGAGGCAAGGGGTCTGCAGACGGTTTAGACCTCGATGGCTGCTGACGTAACGAGGGAGGAGTGGGGTTTCATGCGAGAGGCGTTCAGTCATCAAGGATTTTGCTTTCAACTTGTTAAAATTGAGACTAGGGGTAACTAGATAAAGTTCCGTATGATATGCCTCAAAGGCTTGGGTCGAGTGACTTTTTAAAATTTCGGTTAGAGTGGATAGAACACGACGATGATTTCATTGATAACTTCATCGACAAAATAAAAAGAGTTATGGCATTAGCCATAACTACCACCAAAAACACTTAGTCTAATCAAGGTACTTCCATCCTAGACCAAGGAAACTAATCACGGGAATGGACGAGTTCCCGTGAATGCGAGTCGTGAGGCGCGATCACAAAAGCACGAGAACGAATGCTCATCGTCATCGCATGCCTCGGCTCAAGGTCTCATCGTCACCATGCAAAGAACGAGTACGATGGGACTTCGTCGTCTCGCTTCCATTCGTGCAGGCATGAAGGAAGAGTGCTCGCTGATCCAGTTCTCTCCGCGAGATCCGCCGCGCGCGACTCCAGACGATTCTCAGCGGAATAGATACGAATGGATCATCAAAAAAGGTACTGTGCTGTTGCCGGCATGCGATCGTGTAGTTTTTCACCGTGACCACCTTCGTCGGTAGAAAATCAGATGATTCGTATCAATCGATTCAATGTAAGTGTTTTCAAACCATGAGACTCCCCAAGTCAGATACCATTAAGTCAGTCCGTTCGCCATGTGGAAAAGACAGCTGCCACCGAGGGCGGGGGAGAAGTACAAACATTGCCACGTGCTAGATTAATTTCCTTGAATCTTTTGGAAGTCGTCAATGGCAGCGGTGCGCAAATCTTTCAGGCCCCGCCCCCCCTTTTCATCAGTGTATTCAGTCGTCCATTCTGGTTCCGTTTCATAAGAGATTGACTGTAATTTCGGGTAAGTTGTAGCATGAAGTTATCTCCAGGGAAAAAAACCTTTCTGCCTTTAATTTAATTTTGAACCCTAAAACTCGCTAATTCCGAGAAAAAGATCATGTAAAGGCCAAAGTTCCCCCCCCCCCGTTTTTGCACCGCTGGTCTATGGGATTAGAACTTGGAAACGCATCCCCACTTGATCTTTCTTTCTTTCGCTCTGAGTTGGAATATTTTATTCTTAAATGAATAAAATATTCCAATGTTTTCTCGCTCAGGCCCCTGCTCTTCGCAACTACGACGGACGGCGCATACGTAGAGGGAGCAACTATCTCAATTGTCATAATACCTGGTAGAATCCGGTTGATTCCTCTGAAAGTTCCGACGAATCCTTAGCTTCTATGACCGCAAGGACCCAAAACCGCCAAATCACCGTCCAAAACCATCGCAAATCCATAATCACAAGAAATCTTCGTGCCCGATCGCCAGTGTTGCTGAATATGGAACTCACGGCTGATGCTAAACATCGGGTGGTCGGAAGCTGGGAGAGCTCCCTATAAAATCAAAGTTTTCGGCTTTTCCTATGGATCGCGATATCTTCGCGTAAGGATTATTTTGTTCCATGTTCAAAATAGAAAGTTTGGAACGCATGAACTTCAGAAATTACTGCAGTAAAACAAAAGCTATCATCGGTTTGCAGAGTCGCATATTACATGCACGGATTCCTAAATTAATACTCGACTTGCTGTCCACAGGGCCGGATTAAAGGGGGGGGCAAAGGGGGCAGTTGCCCCGGGCCTCGCAACTTCTTAATCCGGCCCTGGCTGTCCATAATATAATTTCGTTGACGATGTGGTCAGTCTCAGTCTCTCAAACGGTTCGTTTAACCAACAGTACCAGATTGCAAGACTCAAGATCTCGACTGTACCAACAAAAACCGTGGAGGGAATTTTTGAAGCAGTCGAGCGTTTGCGCGCTGAAACACCATGAAGTTGTAAACGGTCCGCAGCTCGTCTTGTATTTTCCCTTATCGATTTCCCGCAATTTCCATTCCTTCCTTCCAAGCATTTCCAACGCGGAGAAAATAATCACTTCCGTCGCGTCGATTGCCCCCCTCGAGGGGAGAACCTCCCCAGCGCCATCTTCCGATCCCTGAAACCGTCGCTCATGAACGCACTCTCTTCTTTGAGGATGTGAAGAGGCCTTTCTCAACGCTTCCTTGCAGATTAAACAGGCCACCTTCCCAAAGGGACTTTCTTACGATGGCCAAGAATAACGCTCCCACCACTTCGGTTGGGCTAACAAAAAATGCTTTATGAATTGACTTAGCCACATCTGCCAATTTATTTATTTCTTTAACATTTGTATTCTTTAGTTCGTTTTATTTTTATTCCATGTTATTTATTTATTTATTATTAGTATTTATTTCTTTCTTTTTTTTTTTTTTGGGGGGAGAGAAAACTGGAATAAAATTCGTCTCACCTCATGAGGGAAAAAGGGGGCAAGGATGGAGAGGCAGCAGAAGCCGGCAAAATCCAGGAGTCCGAATGAGAGGACCATGGGGGGGGAGGTTAAGAGAGAAGGCTCGAACTCCCAAAGCCCCTTATGAATCGCCGCCTGGGAGACGATTCTTAGAAGTCGTATTATTGTATTGATTTTTCTGGAATCTACTTGAGATCTAAGCAGCGCTGCAGTTGCTATTCCCAATCTCTGAAGTCCAGGGAATGAGAAAATAAAGTATGAGTTAAGGGGGAAACATATTGAGTCTGATCTTGAATCTGTCTGATTTTGATTCCCATATCTTCGCAATTCAGTGTAACTGCAAACTCTGATCGCGATCGTCATTCGATGAAATGATGAGACCCGATCAGGAATCGTTTCTCGGGGATGCCATGGCGTCATGGAACCTTTTCCACAGGTATTTAGAGAATTCACCCGACGCTGTATAACTTAGCATATAACTTAAATTACGCTCAGAAATTTTGTCAAGACTTTTAGGCGCGGGATTCCACGCGATTCTGGCACGACTTTCCACTCGATAAATATAGTCGATACACTCCAGGTATCTAGCTGCGCATGCGCAGCTTAATGGCGTCGTGGAAGCCCACGTGAGACTCGCTTCCAATTCCCATCCTGATAGTGTGTAGAGATATGCGAGGAATGGATTTTCCGGTCCTAACCCAGCCATAACCAGAAGTATAAGATCGAGAAACGTGATACTGATTAGGTTTCGAGACGATAAACCCTAAGCAAGGCTCAGACGTTAGAACAGGAATGCATGAAATCGTTGAATGCACAATAGCCTAAGCACTTAAACGTATTCACGTGGATATGGAAAAAAAAGAAGCTCCGCCTGGTCGACCCGACCCGCGCAGACCTCTATCAACATGACAGTCGCGAGCCTCCACTTCATTCTTAGAGGAGGGGAGGTACTTGCGGCAGTGCTCTTCGAGATTCAGAATGTGCAGGACTTGGACCTTCATTTCAGCATGGAATCGGAAACAAAAGATCCTGGTCCTCTCATTCGGACTCCTGGATTTTGCCGGCTTCTGCTGCCTCTCCATCCTTGCCCCCTTTTTCCCTCATGAGGTGAGACGAATTTTATTCCAGTTTTCTCTCCCCCTAAAACAAAAAAAAAGCGTGGAGTTCGTGACTGTGGCGATGTGTCTGGTCGATCCGAAGGCATCTCTAAAGGGGATGAGCGAGACGGTGGTGGGACTGGTGTTCAGCTCCTATGCCATGACCACTGCCTTGTCGTCGGTCGTCATGGGACGCATCGTGAGTCTCTCTCGTCTTGTGGTCCTCGAGGCTTATCGTGAACTTGGGGTGATGCGTGGCTCGGTTCCGGCAGATTCCGCACGTCGGGGCGAAGTTTGCGCTGCTCGGCGGGACCTTCCTCACTGGATCCTGCTGCATGCTTTTCGGGTAGGAGTTCCTCGTGCAGTCGGTGGTGATGGGTGACAGGGGGTTCATGTGCATTACGTGCAACAGGACTCTGGATGAAATTTCGTCTGGGACCGTGTTCGCCGTGTTTTGTTTCGCGGTTCGCATCGTGGAGGCCCTGGGGGCAGCTGCATACAATACTGCGATATTCACGTTAATCACCGTCTTTTTCCCCGACGATGTGGGGCTCGTCTTGGTATGCTTTTTTTTATTTATTAGACTTCGCTCGACGTTGATAATGCTGCAGCAACCGGGAATTAATTTCCTCTTCTTGGCACAGGGAACGATGGAGACTTTCATCGGTTTGGGGTTGTCTATTGGACCTGCTATTGGCGCGGGCTTGTACGCAGTAAGTTCTCTCTTTCCTCCTAGGAAAAAAAAAAAAAAAACAAGCTATCAAAGAACACAACTCTGCTCGGGCATTTTAATCCTTTTCAACCCATATTGATTTTTACTTTTCATAAAAAAATTTTTTTACTGCAATTTATTAAGTAATAATAATAATAATAACTTCAGAACTTCAGGTACCAATGGCTAGTAGAGCCGGTCCACTCCTGGCAGCCTCTCCCAGACAAAAATATCGATCGGATTATATTACAGCCGGATTATAGGGACCGGCAGAGGAAAGGAGCGGTAAGGAAGGGAAGTCATTGCGTTATGCTCCACTTACGTTATGCTTTTGCAAGAGACGTGTCAGTAAATGGACTCAACAGCAGCAATGGATAACAATCTAACCACCGACAGCCTCATAGAGAGACAGACAGGCTGGACAGAACCAAAAATGGTCTCTATCGTATCAAGGAGGCCTACTGATCACATGGCTTCCAACTAGGCCTAATTGAATTTATGGACAATTTCTTCTATAGGCCACAATTGGCAACGGCACCGACCTATGGTTAAGAGGAAAAAATCGGGCATCGGCCCACCGGTCAAATGCGGCCACCGGTACAGCCCTACTTTATACCCATGATGCCGTATGGGCTCATTGGGCTGGAAAGGGTTAAAGATATACGAGCGTGAGTCCGTGACAGAGAGATAACTCTGTGCATGCAGAAGCTTGTTTCTGTCTTTTTCTTCAATTGAGAAATTCCAAATTTTTTCGACAAATCGGCTTTCACAATCCAGATATTCACTTCGATTCACTGATCATCTGGATTTTCTTTCCGAATAGGTGGCGGGGTACAAACTGCCTTTCTTCGTCCTGGGTGGCCTCGTCTTGCTTTTGGCTGCTCTCAATGCCTACCTCGTCCCATCAGACACAGGTAAAGATGGTTCTCTATATACTTTGCTTCTTGCCGTTCCGCGTTACCTGCAATCGATGGCTTGATACTGACACGATAGACGCACCGAAAACCCAGGCCGGCTTTAGGGCTATGGTAAGGCTGGGGGCTTACCCGGCGACAGCGGTTGTGGGGCTCTGCTGCACTGTCACTGCCCTATCTACCAGCTTCATCATGCCTACTCTGCAACCTCACCTGGCGCCAGTGAGCACCTTTTCCACATCATGTCGTTATAGCTTTCTAGAAAACAGTCCTTTGCTGCGGATTTTGATTAAAAAAAAAAAACAGCTTTCCATATCGTGTTATTGTTGGAAAGGGTCTTGTGGGTGCTGTGTCTTTGCGGCCATGAAAATTTGTCCCCTGGTTCATCCCCGGTCAAATGGTAAAAAAAAAATTAAGAAGTTAGTTGCATCTCTGACTGGAATGTTACTTTTTAAAAAAATTCCATCGTGGCTATTGATGGCAATGAGAATCTGGAAAATCTGAAGTGTCAACAGTCTGTCTCTGAGATATGCTTCTTTCTGGAATACGCTTCACCTTCACCTCCTAATTTAACGGAGGGAAGGAGAAAGTGGACGGAAACACCATCTCTCAGATTATTCAAGCTGGTTAATAACTCATTTTTAAGCTAGAAATCAGGAACTCATTAATCTTATCAAATCAAGTTAAACGAAATTAAATCAAACTTTTCTGTTTTTGCTTGTCGTAAATATGAAAAAAAGCTATTTTTATTTAGGATAATTTAAGATTTTCAACCTCAAAATTTTAACAATGGGAAAACTGGTAATGAATCCAGCTTTGGAGTGTCTATGGAGTGTCTCCATTAAACTACTCCTCAAGTTCCTTTCACTTATTACCTCGTTTAAAAGAATTATCTGTTATTTCAAGTTTTTCAAAATTCTGCAAAATATGACCTATAATAACTCTTGCTTGACTCCCGATACAAATATGATTTTCCTTAGAACATTATAGAATATTTGATGTTCAGAGATGAAGTGATTTTGTTCTATTACTTGTAAAAAAAAATCCTGAATTTTGAGAAATACACCATCTGAAGCGAAATACACCACGAAGCGTTTTGTGAAAAAAATGCACACTCGACGACATAAATAAATGCATTATTGAACTAAATTTAGAGTTTGCCTGTCGAATATAGGTTTAACGGTGAAGTGGAAGTTGACTCCAGGGTCCCAATAACGGCAAGCTCCCGAAAGACACACTCCTTCCGGGGATGGTAAAAGAAACTTTTTTTTTACGTTTTACCTACGAGATCTAAACCTTCAAGACCTAAAGCCTCCTCCTTGGTAACTCGATTAGTAAAATACTCACCATAAATTGCCGTGTTTATGGCTTCACATTAAGAGTTGACACGTTTTTTCTTTGCTTATGTCATGGATTTGGATATGTGTATGTCTTGTCTTTGGTATTTTCAGCTCCCAACAATTTTAAATCAAGCCTTGGTCTACAGATTACTCTACTTGATGTGGATGGTATGGATATCTTTACTAGTAAATTATATTTTCTCACGGCGGAATACAACCAAGAATAAAACCGTTTGTTTTACTTTGCCAGTTTCATCATCACTTTTTAGTGTCAACTGTCTGGTGAGGAAGGAAGATTCAGGGACTGTTTCATGACTCACCACTTCGAGGGTTGAGAATAACTTCCAAAATTCAGTTTCCTGAGCAATTGAGTCTAAGAACTGGGAATGGTCCATCATTTTCCGACTCATGACTGCATCTCAAATAAAAGTTATTGACTGTCAAAATTAGCCGAATTTAGCGAAATGTGACAGCTTTATTTAACAGAGTGAATTTTTTTTAATAATTTGCTAATAACAAGTGAGAGGTGCTTATGAAGTAGTCTAATGGAACATAGTAGTTACCTCAAAGTTGGCTTCATTAACTGCTATCCCATAACTTAAACGTCGAGGTCGAAAACTTTAAATTGTCCATAAAAAAAAGAAAATCGTAACTTTTTTAATTGAGGCAGAAAAACTGATCAAATAAGTTGAACATAATTTAAATCTAACTTTAAGAAAAATTAATGAGTTGCTTGATTTCAAGCTTTAAAATGGCTCTCAAGTAGAGCTCTGGCTTAAGCAATTCGGGAGATGATGTTTTTGCCCAAATGGTCACTTTCACTTGCTCTAAAAAAATTTGAGGCATACCTCAGAGACCGTTGAACTATGAGAGTCTGGAAAATTTTCATATTTTCCGGACTCTCATAACCCCAAATAGCCAATTTTTTTTTTTTACAGTTCCCCAGTCGGTGATGCTACCAATTTCCTATTTTGGGCCTCTTGACATGGATTGACCTTTCTGTCGTCCCTGGGGAAATGAAAGCTCTTCGACAAACAAAACCCAGGTCTCTCCCTTTCCCCCGGATATTTCAATCCAAAGCTTACGAATTGAATGCAGTGAAGAATGCATGTGGGGACAGTGCTGTCATACTCCAAACCAGAACTTAAATCAATTTTTTAAATTATTGCTGTAGTGGGCTCCTGAAATTAATGGTTGCAATGAGTGGAGGGGCAATTAAATGCATCCCTTTATACCAGGGTTGTCGAACTCAAATCGGTCGGCGGAGCCGCATTCCTTACCCTGCAGATGCCTGCGGGCCGCACCATAATTTTTCACTGAAATTTGTAATGATAATCAATCCAAGCAGAAATTTTCATGAACGGACGGCGGGCTGGATGAACCACCGCCGTGGACCGGATCCGACCCGCGGGCCGTATGTTTGACACCCCTGCTTTATACCGTTCCAAGACTTCTGCAGACCGACTTTCATGGCGTATTAAAAGTACTTGATGGCTTTTCGTGTAGATTGGGCTATCGCCAGCATCGGTGGGTCTGATGTTCCTGATCGAGACCGCGGTTTACACCGCGTGCAGCCCCTTCTCAGGCTGGCTCTCCGATCGTTATCGAAAGGGGAAACGCCAGGTCATTTCGGGTTTCCTTCTCCTCTCCGTCGCTTTTTTCCTCCTCGGCCCTTCTCCTCTCCTTCCAGGAGTTCCTAAGTAGGTCTACCGCTCCCTTCGCCTTAGGTTCGAGTCTCCTTTTCGTGGGTTTCCTTTTCGAAAAGGAAAATAGGTCGCCTGCTGGTTTTCTGTCATTTTGTTCCCACTTTTGTGGTTCAAGGATAACTACATGAACAAAAGAAACTTGATCGCAGGGAAATTTTCATTTCATTCACGGACTCATTTGTGCAAGATGCGGGCTGAGCTGATTTTTCAACTTCTTACTAAAGCCAGGCTATACGAAAAGAAAAACATTTTGCACGTTTATCAGCAGTTGGTATTTGACAGAAAGAGAATGAGAATGGAAACAGTGGTACAAATTAACTTTAATGTTTCCGTAGATTCCTTTCGAACGGCACAAAAATCTGCGAGACATGAATTGTGAACCTCAAGGTTCAGAATGGCAATTTATTCATTGGAATGATAAAATGAACCCCTTCTCTGTGACGAAAGGAGGCTTACAGCTGGACTATAGCAAGCATTTCACCTTCCCTTGACGCATTCCTAGCACTTTTTTTTATGTGACTTCAGTGTGATATGGTTGAACGCGGTTGCCTTGGTGATCCATGGGCTCGGAATGGCCTTCGCTCTCATCCCCACCTATCAGCTCATGCTGGACGGCGCCAAGTGAGCTAAATTCATGGTCTCTCCCAATTGCTGAAATCGCTGAAAGAGTTCTATGAAAACGGAACTCTGCAAAAAAATTTTTTATCCCTTTAAGATCAGCAGGGTACAAAGATGACATCGTAACGAACTCAATGGTGTCCGGGATTTGGGTCTCCTGTTTCTCTGTTGGGTGAGCCTCAGAGCGTCCTTCTCTTCAAACAATTAGGGTAATGCTAAACTCGGAAAAGTTGATTTCATCCTGATGTACAGGGAAATCTTGGGTCCATTCATTGGTGGTATTTTCACTGACAAACTCGGATTTCCCATTGCTTCTACTATCGCCTCGGGGATCAACCTCACTGCCGTCAGTTATACTAATTTGATCAGCCACAAAAAAATATGGTATTAGTAATTCGATTGCATCAACCCCAACATTGTCCTTACTGCAGGCAATTGGTGTGTTCACATTTCACATGGTGTGGAAAGATCCTGTGGCGACAGAGAAGCAACTGATGGAGGAATCTTCCGTCGCCCCTTCTTATGGGTCCACACTGGAGCTGAATCCAGAGGAACTGGATTCTATGACATAATTTCATAATATGTGCTTGTTCCCGGAGCCCTGGGTAATGCAGTGACGATGATGGTGATAGAATACCAGTATTTTCGGCGAGAAATATTTCTATGATTGACCATAGTTACGACAAAGCAAACTTTTCAGTCTGATGATTGACATTCATTCGTCTCGATGCATTGAGGGCCCAACGAAGAGGTAATTGATAAACTGAAGCGCATGAGATATTCGCTGCAAAATACTGGCATGATTCTTTCTTGGAAATCCGTGCAATAAGAGTTTTGTACGTCGAATTGATATCGTCTTATGTGATTTATTTGAAGAAAAAAATAACACTCGAAGAAAGTGCCGGCTCAAGGTGCTCCACACCCCAATTACTGTGATCTTGGAGAGGAATGCAGTATTTCTCGAATTAGCCCAACCTATTAGACTTGTGACACACGACCGTCCTTGAAACCCCAACATCGTGAACAACTTTTTTTCATTGAGTCAGCATTTGGAGTTACACATCACGAACTACTTTATTTATATTCTCCTTAAATGATGTGGCTGGGTAAGCAACTTGTATGCACACAATTGCGTAAAATCTCATCAAATCGTTATTGAGCCTGCATTGTGGTTTGATCCAAGAAGGTGGACCTGTGTAGAGTTATTTTATTTATACATTTTGTCCCAGAAGAAAAACTCAAGAACAGTTTCACTCTCAAATGTATGTATCCCAACCAAAATGGTAGAAATCCTGTACCTGTCTCATGAAAAAGTGAAAACCAAGAGCAAGTCATCTAATTGCGAGTAGTGGTTGTAGTGCATGCCATCCTCTCTTCTACAGTCATTGACATCAGATGCTAATCTATAATGAGATGATAATCATCCCAGTATTTCAGCTGCTTCAGCATGCATAGAACTCAGGAGTTCCTAACTGCATCCCAACATTGGTACCATTCAAGGACGTAACCAAGAATTATATTCGGCGTGTCTTGCGCGGCTCCTTCAGGCTCATGATGTGAAGTGGCCGAGGAAGGTTGGGAGAAATTTGGAAGACATCGAAAGCCATACTCTGGGAGAGCCCCATTTTCTCTTTCTATTAAATATGTATTTCTTCCCAAACAGTGTTTGGACGTGTGGAAAGATTGATATCGCCCTCAGGGGTAATGAAAAAATCCAGTCAATGAATTTAAAATTCTTTGAAAGCAAGAGTTCAGCTATGAATCTCGGGTTTGGTAGATGTGGTACCATAACCAGGCATGAATAAGCATTATTCAAGTGCCTCTATCGTTCTAGCCAGAACTATTGATAAATTCGATATTTTGATAGGGCTTGTTCCAAAAATCGGCGGAATCTACAGGAGGCTGCTTGAAGAAAGTTGGTTTATACAAACCCTGAATAAATTTCCCGACCTTTCATCAGCCAGGCAACTATTTTCCTCGTCCTCGCTCGACGGACAAAAACGTTGTTCCTGCACAGAAAGATCAATGTCAATGTATGTCTACGTTATTACGATGGGCGATGCTGACTTGTACGCGGGTGTGAAGAATGGTTTGCTACTGGAACTTTAAAAAATCAGTGGAGCTTTGAAAGAAAAATGATGGGGCACTGTATTGGTGATTATCTTCAAAAGGTGGAATAGAAGTAGTCTAAACTTCAGATGTATATGTAACGTTTCACACATCCCCCCCCCCCCCCCCCCCCCCCCCCCCCCCCCCCCTACGAGAGCTCGGCCTAGTTCGCTGACTCAGTCAAAAATCGAAAGCAACGGCGTACTCATCATGGTTAAATGGAGATCAAATTCTGCTCAGATTCACCCCCCACTTCAAAGTCCTTGTTTCCTGAAATCTTGCTTTACTTCGGGGGTGTCCAGACACCCAGGACTGGTATCATTCCAATACAACCTAAGGTTCAAAAGTCCATGAATTTTTCAATTTTAGTTTAGTAGGAAGATTAAATTTATCAGGTATCTCCCACATACTTAAGACCTGAGCTCCTTCAGGAGTGGCAATACTGAACCAGTAGACAAATGGACCAAATTTGAACTTGGGATGCATATTTTGGAGGCCATCAAAACTGAACCAGAGCTAGAATTTTCCTCTGACTTTAAAGGGTATGTTTTATCAGCTTCCAGGTTCAATAAGTAACATTGGTTAAAGAAAAAATAAACAAGGAAAATGTCTTTCCTTTAATACCTACCAAGAGAATGCCTTTTGCCAAGAGAGATTTTGCCTGAAGACCTTGAGAAACCTCAGTGTGGCAAATATCCTTGGACCCTAAGTCCTAAACCTTAGTCCACTGTCCCAGGGTTGGTTAAAACCAAATGATGATTTTATCATTGAATCCTTTCAATTGTGGGTTGAAAAACATTTCCTCCTGAAACTTTGGGGGTGGAACCTTTGCCCAATGGATCAAGTGAAGAAATTTTATAAGTGCTCCTTGTACTAGTCTGTTGTGAAATACTCAGATTAGGCTGTGATGACTTGTCAGTAATGCATCTAGGAATTTCATACCTCCAAGTGACTGTGCAGAGGTAGAAAACCTAGATGTGTCTATGGTGATATATCAACGAACATAATCATTGAGATGGAGCTCATAAATGAAGTGCAGAAGAGAAGGCCTGGAGGCATGTATAGAAAGATGGGGGTGTCACTCTAGTCAGGTGGACTGATAACCAGATTCACAGAGTGGAAGTCCTAAGTGATACTATCTGTTCCCTCCCAAACTCTGTACTCTTGCTTTTCATCGTGTTGTTCCCTCTTGTTAATTTCATGCCTCTCCCTCCTATGGTTGGTCCCTCCAGGTATCACCTGCGTTGCTCCAAATGTTGCTTATGCTAACTTTGCCACTTTTGGAAGAATATGTTCCAAAGGGACAAAAACTCTTCAAGATCCTCCTTCCATGAAAAAATCACCTTGACTAAATAACTGGCTTTGTACTTCCCTTCTGTCATTGTGACATGTGCAATGAAAAGCAGAAGCAGCTGAGGAACAACAATTAAGTCCAACTTAATGTCATATTTAATGCCACACTAAGGAAGTATATCCTAACTGATCCATGATGAGAACTTGCAATTGCACTCTCAAATGCATTCAACACTGAACCATTGAACCCCATCAGATTCATGAACCTTGTACTCCCAAACAGAGGAAACAACACTGGAGTCACATGGATAGGCAGTTGAAGACTCCAGAATTGGCTGCTCAGGTACATTCAATGGCAGGATTAGCAGCATTCCTCCCAAAAGCAGCAAGTCTCACCTAAGAGAAAAGGGCAGAACACCGACAAACATGGGGGGGGGGGGAAGGGGAACGCAACAGGAAACCCTAGGCACTTCACTTGCTCTGTGGGATACAAGAGTCAATAGCTTTGCATACTTCAGCAAATATTGCATCAATTTCCCCTTCAGCTGGAACCTGCAAAACACCAAGACAGAGTTGGATAGCAAAATATATTTTGTAGGATACAACATTCATGTACTATAGAAATTTTCAGTCAATTTAGGTCAGCTACAAAACTTAAACTTCATTATAAAGTAAAATGCAAGTAGGCTAACTAATATATTCAATGCCTGAAGTTGAAAATGTAATGCTGAACTACTAAAAAGTCTGCAGAGAGTTGCTATATGGGAGGAGTCTGCAAGGTTTAGGTGTCTGGCCTTGCAAATGGCCCTTAAGGGAAAGCCAAGAAACACCTGTTGATCTAAGATAGACATATGACAGACCCAAAAATGCAAAATTTAAGAAATAAGAAATACAAAAAACTAGCCATACCCAGTTCAATTTTCAGATTTCCTTTCTGCATAAAAACATTCCTGAATTTCTGTCTTGCTGATGAGATATTATGCAGTGGTTTTCTCAATGAAAATTTAGGCACAAGAATCTCCAGATTAATGTAAAATACATCTCCCACTCATTCATAAGATGTCTGCACACTTGCAGAATCAGCTACAGGCAAACTAAGAATGAACAAACTTAAAAAGTTCATAGAAATTATATCCACAATCATTCCATTAGCAGAACAGACTACAGAAGGGAGCAGTAATGGAGTGTTTTAGTTTAGTCTGCTTTCCTTTGGAGGTTGTTTTCGATCTGCACAGCCACCCTCACTCAAGCACAACGGTTTTACTCATTCATTTAGGGTTGTCAACATAAAATGTTGACAACCCTAGCTTCGACACAAATGAGGATGCTCACCGTTCTTGTTATATCCACATACTTATCGAGCACTGGCTTCGTTTGATTATGGAAAGTTTGAAGTCTCTTCCGGATGGTCTCCTCGTTGTCATCAACTCTCCCCGACGTCTCACCCCTCTTCGTCAATCTCTTTGTCATAGTGTCATCTGATACGTTAAAATATATCACCAGAGAGCACGGAGCGATCTGGAGAAAAAGCAATCCAACAGTAATGACATGAGAATCCCTTCAAGAGTAGGAAGAAACTACAGAGGAAGCATAAGACATCGGACTCACCTTGTTTTCAAAGGCAATAGCTTGGACAACCTCACGAGGGTAGCCATCAATGAGGTATCCCTTGGCATCCTGCAGTAGACTCACCATTCTCTCTTTCAGCAAGTCTAAGACCACATCCTAAGAAGGGAGCGGGCAAACTCAAATAATTCCTACCAAATGTAAGTTTACACTCTCCAACCATCACATTTAAGTGGCCGAATCTTTCAAAACCACATTTCATTGCAGGACATAATTTCCACTACATGATGCCCCAATAAGGTAGCAAACTCATTGACAATAGTCAGAGTTGATGACAGCAGATCCTCACCATGGGAACAAGGTTTCCCTTCGCCATGATGGCAGACAGCTCCTGACCCCGTGTGGATCCAGATTGAACCTCCTCTCGCAGCAGATCCCCTGTGCTCACGTGTTTGTACCCGTACTTCGCTGAAATCTTCTCACACTGAGTGCCTTTCCCGGAACCTGGGCCACCTGAGCAAATCGAGACCAACTCCCGTGTTCCAACATCCATTGAACAACGTGGAATGGAACTGGAAAGGGGGAAAAGCAAGATCTTACCAAAGACGAAGATGATGGGGACTTTGGAATCCCTCACCGGCGACGGCTCTATTTCACTTTCAATTGGGTGAGCCTGCAAAAGGGAAGAATGAAGGTGTAAGACTTGCAGTAACATGATGTCTACTCTCTGACATGCTGATATAGCATGGCATTCCGCAATCCGAAATATCTTTGATTCCGCCTTCTCGTTTCTTTCGGATTGGTTGTTGATGGAAATCGCGATGTAGGATGGAATGCCTGACGACCCATGAAAAGTATCGTAAAAACGGCCTGTTCGCATGCGATCGGACAGCGAACTTACTTTCTTTTAAAGTAAAGCCGCAGATGAAAGAGTAGTCCAGAGGATCACAGAAATTAAAAACCATATCAGTAACAATTAAACTGCCCTGTTGTGGCAGAATAATAAAACTTCAGTTATACGAGATTTATTTCATTCATAATACATAGTTTTTTCCCCCCACCATTGTCGAGCAACATCAGGATTTTGTACGCTCTGGCTACAGTACCTGAAGGGCTACCACCCTCATTCTTCCTAGTAGGGACGTTCTCTTAGGGACGTTTGAGAGACGTGACCGCCGCACGAGGAACAGAGACTACATAGAGACTGATTCTGCCTGAGGGAAGAGGACGACGGACTTGAGGGAGCAGCGCCGGATCGCGAATGACCGGTCATAGGATGCGATATCTCGCTTCTCTAAGGTCACAGTCCATCTCTCGCACCAGTCTAGAATGCGGTATGGACTGTGATCTATTGCGAGAGATGAGAGCAACATCAAAGAAATAGGGAGTCAATTCGTACTTTATGACCCATCATTCGCTATCACCATTCGCTTACATCGTTGCTATCGCAGGAAAATAGGATTGCAGCCCACGCTCTCAAATTCCGAGCAATTATGGAAAGTGGACTTAGTCGCTTCACTTTCTCAGAGTCTGAAATGACTCTTCCGGAAGCAAAATCGCTATTTTTTTCACATACAATTTTTTTTTAGTTTTTTTTTTTTTACCTTACTCCCTTTTCGGCAATATAATGGGTATCTCCGACTTTCTTCCCTAAACGCCGAGGGCTTTTTTTTCTGTGCTCCCATCAAGAGCATTTTTCCAATGCCGAATATGTATGAAAGAGAAACCGGCTGACCCGAGGCCAAGGCTCCTGCACCAGAGTCAGAGGTCGCACCGCATCTCCGTCACCCAAACACGGCACAGAAGACCTGCCTCCCATCACCGTCTTCCAAGTTTCTCATTACGAGGAAATGATTCGTTCCAGAGAGCCAACCATGAACTGCGAGGGCGTGAACTTATGTCTCTCAAAAGCGGAGTGGTGTAACGAGCCTGTGCTGATCGATACCTTCGGTCTCCCGGTAACTGCTTTAACGCGTTTTGTGAACATTTCTACCACCGGTCCATTTATCACTTCGATTTCAACTGTCAAATGACGAAGTCTTGACCAACATTGATTTCCCTGCGAAGTTTGGTTTAGGCATTACACGAAATGGACGCAAACAGTAGAACCTCTTTTTCACATTATAGTGAGCACTGAAAATGAATGACCCACAAGTTATGATCTTTCCACTGACTATTAACCCTGCGAAAGATACACTTTTACTTCAACTTCTATTATCTTCGGAATCGAACTAGAAGTGCATGTAAAACGCGGTGTATCTACCTAGACTTCTCTGGACTATGGAGAGAGAAAAACGTACCTTTGCCAATAATACCGTCTGTACAAATCCAGGCAGCGAGATCACATTGAATTTGAAAGTACATTTGAAATTTGATGCTATCAGACTGGAACTCGTTCAGGAAAATAAAACTTGATGTAAGCTCAAAGTATACTGCGTGCATGGTTAACCCATTCAAATCCATTATAGTCCATTCACTTTGAGAAGAGCTAGTCGGCAAACCAGGCTGACAACGGCGATCCCTCCGCCCCATTAAGTTGTAAACTAAATAGGAGATTTCTGACAATTTCTCTTTTCATGCTGGAATTGGTGTCATAAACCAGTAGTTGATGACTTGTGTCAGACGCTATGTGAAAAGTCAGTTGCCAGAAATGGAGAGAGAATGCTTCACGCAGGAAATGAATTTTATTAGTGTATGTACTCAAATCTGACAAGGAAACTTGAAAAATGTTCAAATACAAAAAGTCCACAGCCTCCATATTTTACTGTACTCTCTCTTCCATAGCACAGGTCAAAGTGGAGACAGAGAATATCCCTATTTGGCATCCCTGAACTGTCGCCCAACAGGGCAGGTTGAGAAGGTGCTAATTGCATGCCCTCTTTCACTCATTTATCACAGCAAGCGGCCTTCGAGAAATGAGAAACTTTGAGCTCTTATCAAAGCGTCTCGAGGACTATAAGGCACACGCGGGTATGTGGCTTTTCCCTCCACGAAATACGAAATCCATTCGTTTCACTGATACTGCCCGTTCTTCTTTACAAATAATATCCCCCTTCAGAATCCGGAAAAATCACTAAACACAGTGAATCGCAATCTGCGTATGTCTGTCTGTGTTTAACACAGACAGCGCGAGTCTCAATGAGGCTAACACTAAAGCGTTTCATGCATCCATTAAGTTCATGCACTTTGGTCCATTGCCACATTAACTTTTTGCTTGGATCAAAAAGGAAAATGCTTCTTTATTATTAACTCATTGTGGTAAAAAATAAACCCTAATGTTTCGCGGCATCGATCCAACCTTACAATATCTAATGAAACAGCCACGAGAGACTCCAGAGAACAGGAACGCAAGGCACACGGCCTCGAGACCGATTGAACCCGATGCCCTTTCAAGATAAGGTCATCATGAGGTAGCTAGGTACAAACCCATAAACGTACCCCTTTCACTTGTGACACTAACACAATGACCTATTCAATGCGCGAAAAAAAAAATTATTCTGATTCCGGTTTGTCGATGGGTTTGAATAGAATGCAGAAGCAGCCCTGCAGTCCTTTCAATGGAATCAAGGTAGTTGATGACGGACGACAGAACAGTGTTGAACAAACAGTCTTCCCTTCAGAAGGATCCAGTAAAGGTAATTTAATCATTTATGGCACTCTACAGCCTGCATGGGTGATGAAGAAAATCAGCTACTCCCAATTTATGGATTTATTACCAACTTACCAACAATTTATTATTAACAGCGGTATCGATATTCACAAACTTTCACATTCACATACTCCTTGATATTCACATTAGGAAAAACTTGAAAGTGGGAGAACAGAATTTCTTGCACAGCCCGGACTCAAGGAGAAAGGACCCCATACAAAGACTCCGCCAGGAATCTAATTAAGGGCTATTTACGTCACATCAACTTACATTAAAGCGTCCAAAAAACAGAGGCAGAAGAATGGGCAGGCAGTCTACGTCTAGCTCTGGAACGGGTAATTTGTGAGATAGAAACTCGGACATTCAACTTTCAGATTTAAATGCCTCGTTTTAGCCAAGAGATTTCGATTCCATTAACAAGCTACTTGGATTGAATCCAAACAATCCAGACTATCGAGGGAAAAAAAATTAGCAAAGCGATATAGATGACGATCCTACAGATTCATGTTTCTCATGACTGAAATTATCGCCTTTCGGTATTTCAATGCCGACTTCGATGACCGATGAAATCGAGGCAAGATTAGCCATGATGGAGGGAACACCTCGAATTCAATCCTACGTTAATACCCTATTGAGTCCCTCCAAATTCATTCAGGGATAGTTCCCAGGATTCCCAGAATCCCATGGATTCGGGAAAAATCCCTGACGTGCAACGAGTCCTAGGACCCCAAGGAGCATTCACTGTCGTGGCTCATTCAGTCGCACTCAAATCCAGCCTACCGAGCCTTGCGTTTGTGGGGCCGTTTTGCGCGCTTCTTCCCGTGTTTCAGTCAGTGGGGGTTACCTTCCCCAGTAGCATACAACATTGATTCAATGTTACATGCTACAAGGGTTCTGACTCTTTACCTGAACTGATGGCTCAGCTCCAAGTTCCCAGAGCACTCTCACTGAGTACTTAGGGCAGCTTTGATCTTTGGAAAGTTCAGCACAGAAAGAACTTGCAACGGGGGAGTTGTGATTCGCATCCATAGGACTTTGAAGGCTTAATGGACGTCCTTGTCCTCCAATCAGAGAAAGTCAAGAGCAAATCTGGGACGAGGTCACGCAGCAATTCTCCAGGGAGACCCGACACGACATCATGCTCGTCATGAACATCCATCCACGAATTGACGACAATTACGTCCTGAAATCCTGAAAACGACTCCGGCAATATGAAGGATCTTTACCCCTAACTTGTCTCTTCTCCTTCGATAAGCGATTCTACAAAACTATTCTTTCATTCAATGAAATCGCGCAGTACTGACACCAACCACCTCCTCTTGCCTCAGGGTGTGCCTACTCGTAAACATCTATGTTTTTAAAGTAATGTCGCCAAGTCTGTTTATCAGCGCCAACCGTAATTAGGCCCAGGAGGGGGAAAAAAACCATTCCCTGAAGATTGTCTTATCTGGCTGGGGGTAACCTCAATGTGCGTGTATACAAACCACGTCCTGAGATAATCTCTCCGTTCCACTACACAATTCCAGGGTTGTTACAACGTGCAAATCGGTGGTTTATATCTGAAGTCAGGAACATCTCGGAAAGTCAGGAAAAAAAAATTTGGAAGACCTCCTGATGGCTGGGTGATCGCACGTCTAGATAAATGCATCAACTGAAAGCCGAGAACAAATGTGAACCTATCAGATGTAGCATGCTCCTACTGGGTGCATTTTGTGCTCCCACCTCAAAAACAGGCTATCCTCTCCTCATGAAATTGAGGGAAACAGACTGGTTTCATGACACCATGACTGGTTCTTGTCGCATCTAACATGCTAACAAGCTTGCCCTCCCCTCCGTCGCAGGCTCGATCCTTGTTCCAAGAATCTTCATCCGTCTCTGGTCTTCGTTAAGATGCTTAGCCTCAATGATCCATTATATAAACAGGGCCCCGTCCAAAATGGCATGATCGAGATACGGCGATTGGTCCTAGCATCGAGTCGACAGGGCAGTACTGAGAAATACGAGAGCTCGGCCTAGTTCGCTGACTCAGTCAAAAATCGAAAGCAACGGCGTACTCATCATGGTTAAATGGAGATCAAATTCTGCTCAGATTCACCCCCCACTTCAAAGGCCTTGCTTCCTCAAATGCTTTAAAAAAAAGATCGACAAAGTTGGCACCACCCTCCGACCAAAGAGCAAGAGAGCATCGAAGACACCTGCGCTGTAGCGTCCGTCTCGTCCTACCCGACCTCGTCAATGACAACTCAAGATCAACGAAACGCCTTCCCACACGATTAATAATATGAAACTAATGAAGTGGGGGAATTACCTTAATTTACACTCACGATTAAAAAAAAACTCCCTTCCAGTCTCTTTCGCATTGGTACCGCTGAGGGGCCACTAGGTCGATAGTTAGGCCTAACGAGTCATAGCTCAGCCCCAAGTAGGCCTAACATTGGTTGGAAATCGATTCCCATTCTCTTTCTCAAAGCCAGATATTCCGAGGATTTCACTCACCTGGGCAGCCATTTCACTTTGTTAGAGTGAAGGGAAAAGCTTCTCTCTGGCGGTAGAAAATGAGCGCACACGAAACGATCCACGCGGCACGAGAAGCGAATGGAGATGAGAGAGGGGCGAGGGCCAAGGGACGCCGGCTTCTCTTCCTCCAGCGTGCTCACACTCCATTCCGGGCTTACTCGGCAACCGCTAATATCACTGCGCACGGTCCGCACTCCTGTATTCACGCGCTTTCTCATTCCTCGTGCATACACCGGCCCGGTCTCTCCACTTATTCATTAACATTGGGCTCCCCTCGTTCTAAAAGGCCATTCATTCTGACCATTCATCATCTATGCAACAACCCCAACGGGACAACTTGCTTCGTCAACTCGCGCACTCCGTCCAACTTCCCCTCGAACGCACTGTAAAATGCTCCGACAGCTGGGGGAACCCCCCTGCCAATGTTTTGCATATGGCGCGAAAACTCTAGCTTTGCCAGGAAGCATCAATTGGTGCCATCGCAGTTCTCCGTATTGACAGATTTCGCGATAAAAGTGCAATTCCATTCCAGGTGCAGTTACAGGTTAGATTTTGCTGCGAGAACAGTCGACAAAAATGCATCTAAATAGCAGCCAAGAATAGTTCCAACAGACTCATGTGTCTGAACCCTGGACTATTGTCAAGAGCGTCTATTTTTCCCTTCTGTCCTCCGAGATCGCGGAGCATCTCATGGACGATGCCATATGCGCAGCAACACACACGACCCGAAAGGACTACTTTCCTGCAAATTGTGCAATCGGCGCCTGGTTGACGGCTCGTCGTTTCAAATCAGTCGCATTTAGGGTTACCACCTTTGAATTTAAAAAAATATGGACAGATATTCGAAATACACTCACAGTCACCTTAAGCCAAGGCGCCAATCGATACTATGAAGTGGCCTGTTTTTGACTTAAGGAAAGTAACGATATTAGCTGCTATTAAGCTTTATTACGTAAAAAAATCTTAAGTTTAAAATGTGGACAACAGTTTTCATATTAGGGCCAGTTTGCAGTAGGGACATTGCATCTGAAATATGTACTGTCCATACCAATGATGAATGGGTGGCAACCCTAGTCGCATTACAGGCCTATGGGGAGGCTACCTAAGCTTTTGTATGCCATTGAACCAACAAGCCACTTAATCGCGAGGTATCTGGAGTCTTTAATCAAACTCGGTGTCAAAACTAGGGTTGACTTCAAAACAATAACTCAGTTGCAGTTCGGTTTCAGTTTCAGTCAGACCAAAGTCTGACTGAAGATCCGCTGAGCCCTTGTCGACTTCTATCATGAACAAATCCCAACTAAAACTGCAACTGAACTAAAACTAGGGCTGGACTGCAGTTTCGAAAACAGCCTATAACTGACTCATTGTTTAAAATTCTGCTAACTTTTTTTTTCAAGATTGAATCTGGAAATCCCGCCCATTACGTCATATATGTCGATGTCGAGCGTTCATTTAGTAATTTCATGATAAATGTACGCTAGGCCTTAAAGATACATACTTTTTGTGGGAGCACTACCACTGCCAAGTTACATAATGCTGCTTCGCTCCCTTTGTCCATGAAGGTATCTATTCCCTTCTTGAAGCTAGTCACGGAAGGGACAGCCATTGCATGATCGCCTGACGCATTCCACGCATTCACCACCCGACAAGTGAAAAAGTAATCCAGTGACCCGAATCTTTCGCAATTTGAACCGATTCCCCCAAGTTCGGTCACACTCATAGAGTTGAAAGAAAAAAAAAAAGCCTATCGCCCTTCCCGTTATCGATTCCCTTAATGATCTCGAATGCCTGATCGAGCTCCCCCCTAGCCACTTTTGGACTCCTCTCATACGAGAGTCCACGCACCTCCTTCATCGTTTAGCGAACCCGCCTTCGACCCCTTTCTAGCGCCGTCGGATCACCTTTATTCACAGGCCTCCAGAATCTAACGCAATTTTCTAAAAGGAGTCTAAAGCCGAATGCAACGGAAGAGTAATGTGGCGATGGAACGCCGGATGAAACCTGTTTCATTATTCCCAATTCGTTTTTGCCAAACGAGTTCAGAGACCTACTGCTACTGTGGCCGACATTTACTATTATTAAACTTCTTTAACTATATTATGTTCGAGACGCTCCAAGTCTCTATCGGCTCTCGTCCTGTCTTCCTCCTCATTGACGGTGAAGCCTAAATTTTCGTGTCGTCCGGAAATTAGCCAACTTTATTCACAGGATCTTAATCTAACCAGAAGCAATCCCAAAACCGAACCCCGGGGTTACACCCTGGGGTTACTTATAAGCCAGTTGTCCCCAGTCGACTGCAACTGTTCTGCAATTTTGAAATAATTCATGGTTTTCATCGAACTATTCGACGCATCACTGCAGTTCGCCATGTCGAGAGAGCTTTCTGGTCGTAGCCTAGGTCATTTTGCATTGTACACGTGAAGATCAGCACGAAAGATGCCTTTTATTCATTCAAGGTCAGAGAAGCGTTTTGTGCATCCCAGGCGAGGAGGGGCAACGAGAAACGAAGCAAAAACAAGATGCAGCGTCGGAAACGGCACAAAATGTTCAGTCGAGAGCGAGACGGGAAAGCAGAAAGGAATTCGGCGAGAGAATACAAGCAGACGAATAAACCAGTTTGGAAAGGGAAAAAAGGGATTCAACGATACACGATCAATTCACTAAACACGAAATCAACTTAGAAGCAGAAACGAGCATGGACCGAAATATTCCAAAATACAACAGTTTCGTATCGGCTCTGCAACAAATTCTCTCTCCCGGGAGATGAGACAAAAGAACGCGATATTCCAAGGACTCAATGACTGAACGACCGCCACCGGTTTTACGAGCCCGAGAGAGAACCAGTTTCCACGTTGCGGGAAGCGGCATGGCCTGTCGGAGACCGATAAGGCCAACCGCCTACAGCAGATAACTGCGATCGGCGGACGAGCGACTTCGTCAACCCCCCCCCCCCCTCCCCCCCCGCTGCACGATTGTTACAGTCGTCACCAATCCGCTTCCGCTAATCCTTTGCAAATATGGGATCCGATGGCGGAAAGCGATACCGAAGGACGAACGTTTCGGATCCGCTTCTGCGAAGATTCCGACTATCGACTTCCATTCCCGTTCGGGTGCGGCAGAAACTGGAAGATGGGAATCCTTCCCGCCGCTTTCTTGGCTTGGGTTCTCCTTGGAATCCTGCCCTACCTTTCGCTCGCATTCCATTCCATTCCATTCCAAGCTCATCTCGGATGAGCCTCCCCCCCCTCCGCCCCTTCCCCCCCTCCCCTTCCCCCTGCCCCCCGCCATCTGCCACCCCAATTGTTGCTCTTCGTCCAGATTGCATCCTCCGTATATCCCATTCGACAGTCACATAAATCTTCTGAAGGGCCCATCGCATCGACTTGAGGGCGTAGTCCTTCACGTGCGCTTCTGGTAGCCCATAGATCTTATTTCCGTGCCTCTCGATGCGGGAAGTGAAACTAGGAGAAGTTAACTACTTAGGCAGGTACTCTCGCATGCGCAAACAAATACCACGGAAAAGATCTAATACATCGCACGTGCATAAACAGACGCTGAATATAAATATGTCCGTGAGGCAACAGAACGATGCACTCTGATGTGACCTTCGCAGAACAAGTGGAACAAGTACAAATCTAGTCGTTTAGAAAACTATCATTTCTTTCTGCACCTTTCCGTTTTGACTGTTCCTGCTAAACGGAAAACGGCGTGTCGTATTTAGACGATGACAGAAGAGTCCATTCCCTTTAACCGATGAAAAAATGCGGAAATCCTGGAAACGGGAGAGGGGACATGAAAATCCCATCCCACCGAATCGCTTTATCGACTCTGAAGCCGTGCATGTCCGACGTCGAAGGTTCGCGGAGGATTATTTTAATGAATATCATAATTGGTATTTCGGGAAAGGACTCTTCCTGCTCTTTTTTTTATTTATTTAAAGATCTAGTTGTATATACAGTATAATTTCACCGGGAAAACAGCGGGTGTAAAAATAGGCAATCTCTTAACACGATCATATTCCAGAACCGTATCTCGCATACCAAAATCTCACCAAACAGGCACAGTATCCGAGAAAGCCCCGCAAAACACTTCCGCAAAAGAAAGGATTAACGCGACCTGGAAGGGTGGGGGACAACAGGTGAAATAGGGTTACTTTGGTCCCTGGCAGAGCTTCCAACGTTGCACCAGCAAACGACGAAATAAAGATCGATGAAATACACAACACAATCGTCTCGACGAGCGGAACTAGAAACTTATACACTAAGGTCCATCTCCATGCAATTCGAAAGAGAGCGAAGCCCGGAAGAAAGAGAGAGAAAGAGAAAGAGAAAGAGAAATCGATGTCTCAGCGGGGATAGAAGAGAGCCAAAGGAGTTTTTATTTCATGCAGGAGGAGTCCGAGCTGGACTCCCGCTTCTTGCAGGCCCGTATGGAGGCATATCGACTCAACTCACGGCGAAGTCCGCATCTGCAATGATCACAGCACCGTTTTTCAGCTTCTTCGCGGGGTTGGGGTCCGCGTTCTCCGGCTGCCCGTCCCGAGGCCCCTCGACGGTGCCCTTGATCTGCGAGAGGGAGATCGGCGGGGTGACGACGACGTCGACGGTGTCGTCGAGGAGCTCCCTCATCGCCACCTCGACGGAGTCCACCGTCTCCGTCGTGCTGTTCTTCCGGGCGTCGCCGGCGGGGACTTCGACTCGATCGACTCGGCCGAGATCCGGCTCGGCGTCTGCCGACGTTTCTCTCAGCGGTTCGAGAGGCGGCCGTTCGATCTCCCTGCTGGTGATCGTGAGGATCTGGCGTTTCAGTTCTCGCAGCACGTGGTCCTCGTCCGAATCCCCATCAATCTGCGCGGGAAAAAGGCGTCTGGATTTTTTTTCGAATTCTTTTAGAATCGACGAAGAGCGCGTGTGAGGGCTTACGACGATGAGTTTCCCCTCTTCGTCCAACGTCCTGAGCATGGGCAGAGTGTTGTCCCGATAGACCTGGAGCTTCCGCCGCGACGCAACGACGGAGTCGTCCAGCCGACCGATCCGACGACCCAGGTTCCGCCCCAGTTCCAGCTCGGAGCAGTCGATCAGGATCACCGCCGCGCGCCTCCCAGCCTGCGAGGAGTCCATCAGCGATCTTGCCGGCACGTCTCTCAGGGGTTCAAACGCGCCGGCCGGCACGTCTCTCGAGGGTTCAAACGCGCCGGGCGGTTCCGAAACGCGAAAAGTGTCCTGGGTTTAATCGCTCTCCAGGATAGGAAGTGCTTCCACTCGGCTCTTCTAATATGATTCATTTGAGGTCCTATTAACATGTCTCCTAACGGGTCATAAACCAATGCATGGCAGATACGCCATTGAGTGAACTCGTACGAGCTAATGATCGATAAAATTTCCTTTTATTATTATAGCTCCTTACTAGCCACTGGCACAGGGCCTTACCACTCCTCTGAAAT